ACCCTAACCCTAACCCTAACCCTAACCCTAACCCTAACCCTAACCCTAACCCTAACCCTAACCCTAACCCTAACCCTAACCCTAACCCTAACCCTAACCCTAACCCTAACCCTAACCCTAACCCTAACCCTAACCCTAACCCTAACCCTAACCCTAACCCTAACCCTAACCCTAACCCTAACCCTAACCCTAACCCTAACCCTAACCCTAACCCTAACCCTAACCCCTAACCCTAACCCTAACCCTAACCCTAACCCTAACCCTAACCCTAACCCCTAACCCTAACCCTAACCCTAACCCTAACCCCTAACCCTAACCTAACCCTAACCCCTAACCCTAACCCTAACCCTAACCCTAACCCTAACCCTAACCCTAACCCTAACCCTAACCCTAACCCTAACCCTAACCCTAACCCTAACCCTAACCCTAACCCTAACCCTAACCCTAACCCTAACCCTAACCCTAACCCTAACCCTAACCCTAACCCTAACCCTAACCCTAACCCTAACCCTAACCCTAACCCTAACCCTAACCCTAACCCTAACCCTAACCCTAACCCTAACCCTAACCCTAACCCTAACCCCTAACCCTAACCCTAACCCCTAACCCTAACCCTAACCCTAACCCTAACCCTAACCCTAACCCTAACCCTAACCCTAACCCTAACCCTAACCCTAACCCTAACCCTAACCCTAACCCTAACCCTAACCCTAACCCTAACCCTAACCCTAACCCTAACCCTAACCCCTAACCCTAACCCTAACCCTAACCCTAACCCTAACCCTAACCTAAACCTTATCCATAAACCTACATCAAACCCTATTTCTAATGTTTTTCTTTGTTCTTAGGGTTCTTATGTTTTTCTTTGTTATTAGGGTTTGGGTTAGTTTTTCTTTGTTTTATGAATTTCTTATGTTTTTCCTGATATTTTTGAATATCTGATGTTTTTCCTGATATTTTTGAATTTCTTATGTTTTTCTTTATTTTGGGTGTCGGAAATAGACGGATATTCCATAGAGTTAGGGCTAGGATGTCGGAAATAGAGGGATTTGGCATATGTATAGGGCTAGCTGTCGGAAATAGACGGATATTACATAGGGGTAGGGCTAGGGTGTCGGAAATAGAGGGATTTGGCATGGGGATGGGGCTAGCTGTCGCAAATAGACGGATATTACAAAGGGGTAGGGCTAGGGTGTCGGAAATAGAGGGATTAGCTATAGGGGTAGGGTTATACACTGTGATGTAGGGTAAAATCGCCCGAAATATTGTTAAACCGTCTCGAATAGGGTAAATACGGTCGAATCAGGGTTAAAGGGGTTAGGGTAGTCTTTTCACGGTCCAATAACACTATCATAGGGTCAAATAGGGTCAAAAACTGGGTATCCGTGCCTAGGTACGGTCCTGCAGACCGCCCAAAACGAATAACTCGGGACCAGGGTGCCAACTCGTCCCTAATGCTCTAATACATCCCAAATACTGGCGTGCATCCAGTACTTCCATTGATATGTGTACAAAGTCGAATTGCCATAGGATTTGTGCACAAGCCCTTGCCCTATGCGTTAACGCATACACACACTTGAAAAAACGACTAAGTACTAACCCATTCCCTTATATTTGACCCATATTGACTTATATGTTTTTTACACGTTTCAGACCATTTAAGAATTTCTTATGTTTTTCTTTATTTTGGGGTGTCGGAAATAGACAACTTTTGGCCATAACTCCTGGCCCCTATGACATATGACCTTGACCTTTGGGGTCAGAGGTCATGACCTCCCCCGAAAGATTTTGACTTAGTCACAATGTTATGCTCCCCAGGGGTCAAAGGTTATGACCTCTCAAAGTTTTTTTCATATACTTTGTGCAGTAACCTTTGACCCCGTGACCTTTGACCCATAAGGAGCATAACCTTGTGACCCCACCAACAGTTGCGGGGGGTCATGACCTTTGACCTCAGGGGTCACCGACCTTATACTCCGAGGTCGGCCTACAGAAGATCCCTTAACTCTAACCCTAACCCTAACCCTAACCCTAACCCTAACCCTAACCCTAACCCTAACCCTAACCCTAACCCTAACCCTAACCCTAACCCTAACCCTAACCCCTAACCCTAACCCTAACCCCTAACCCTAACCCTAACCCTAACCCTAACCCCTAACCCTAACCCTAACCCTAACCCTAACCCTAACCCCTAACCCGAAGCCCGAAGCCCGAAGCCCGAAGCCCGAAGCCCGAAGCCAGAAGCCCGAAGCCAGAAGCCCGAAGCCAGAAGCCCTAGAAGCCCTAGAAGCCCTAGAAGCCCTAGAAGCCCTAGAAGCCCTAGAAGCCCTAGAAGCCCTCGGTCGTATTACTTAACTTTTTGGCGTAATGCCCCCTATTCGTTCGCCCCACCCACCCACCCCAGGTCAAGTTCAAATATATATGCCACTTTTTTTCATGTTCCCAAATAACTATTTGCCATTTTTTTTTGCAACTGACACTAGCTTTGATTCTACAACTGCGCATGCTTGATGACGTTGTAAATATTTATTACCTATTTCAATTTCAACTCCCACTTTCATCAACAAGTCCCTAACATTATTGTTGCCCTTTTCAGGCTCATAAAAAAAAAATCGACAACATCTGTCTTCTTAATACTGCGCTATATTGCACAATTTATTGAACAACATTTTTAAATGCTTGTCATCTTTCATCACAATAACATCAATTGTTGCGTTCTATTCTTCAACTGACAAACATTTTCCTCATAACTCTTTAACAAAATCAACAAACATGTACTTTCCATTTCCAAGCACAATAATGAGCATTTGCGTAAACATTACATAAACAGAGTATCAACCATCCATTCTCTTTGTTTGGCCCAAAAAGTGTTAACGTGTACCAAATTATGCAATTGATGACAAACATGGTACCGAGAAAAAAACTTGCACTTTTGTATACGTGCGAGGTTAGTGTGAGCCACAACTTGCACGTATACAAAAGTGCAACTGTGTTCGGTATCATTGGTCCTAAAGTGTATAAATTCGTACACATTATCACTGTTTTGCGCATAAGAAAGAGTACGGCTGGAATGCTAAGGAATTTCTGTACTGATTAGTCGTTAGTTGAGCGAGAGGTGCTCAGTAGTTGTTGAGTTAAAAAAGTAGTGGAAGGTGGGGACTTTCTTTTTGGGTTGAGTGTAGTTACATTTACAGTTCTGACGGGGAGACGAAGTAAATTATCAGCGAAGATTGGGCTTGGAAGAGTGAGTGTCCTCGCAACGAAATCTTGCGAGGTACTGTAGTTCAACCAAAAGGTTACCCGTTGGGAAGTTTTTAAGAAGCTAAAGCAGTTCCATCCCCTCCCGCCAAAAAAATTGATGGAACAACACATAATTAATTACGCTATATATTATATTTGTCACTCAACCCAAACAAACCAAATTTCTCAAAGCTTTAGGGAAGTCACAGTCCAGAAAATAATCATTTCCAGACTTCAAAACGTCTAAGGTCAGTTATAGCCATGATCAGTGAATGGTAGGAATTTGTATTGTGATGCTCTAGTGGGTGCTTTGTGCTAGGATCCATATAAATACGCTCCATTTTTCGAACCAGTCATCCGCTTGACAACAGCAGCGGCGGATGCCTTCAGTTCACAGCTATTGCAGTGTCACCCTCGTCGTGTTGACTAATATACTTCCTTTGCTAAAGGGCGAACGTGTTGTAAAATATTGTACAGACCGTAAGTTCCTTCTTGCACTTTGGGACTCTTTCATTTGTCATGAACTCGGTGACATAAAAAGTTAACATTTTGTGATTATGACTGGGAATAATTTTTCTTCTATTTCGAGCTCAATGGTTATGACCTTAATTGGGCATGTCAGAGTCGGCATTGACGATTAGATTTTATGGTGGTAACATAGTCTAGTTTTTATTGTCGCAATGTTTTTTTAATTGCCACGGTTTCCGTAAATTTGTTCAATCTTTTTGTGTTATGATATTATGATCAAATATTGGAATGTGGTGTTTTTTCCATTCATTGTCTCCAATTAAAAGTGACTTTCATTCGAATCGGAATTTTAATTAATACACTTTTTTGCACACCTCCTGGATTGTCCTATATCATTTGCAACGACACCGATTCTGCATTTCTCCAGAAGCTTCAAATCAGCGCGGGCTTCAGCTTGGTTTGTTCAATTTTGCAGCATCCGTGTTTCGCGTTGTTGAGACTAGACCACTATTTATGTGGCGCGCCCTCTATTGAACGAAACTGAACATATTCTACGGCGTGCGGATGTATGTCTTGGCGGGGCGAGACCACTAGTTTTATTCAGCGCGCTTTTTCTCGACAGAATTGTTTTAGTTGTTTTACTGTTTCTCACAAAACTTAATCTCCTCCTGTAAGACATCAAGACCGATCACTTGCTAAACTTACAACTTAATATAGCTTGACCTGGTGAGCTCGGGTTATTGCTCAAACAACGAGTGTATTGTTATTTATCCATAATTATACGTTGACTTTTCATTTTTCATTTGGTTTTGAATTTCTCACGCATAAAATACTATATTTGTTTCGGGTATGTTTGATGGTTTCTCATGGAATTAAATCTCATAATGTAACACAGTCATCATGACAAATCACTGAATATTCAATTTTGAAATACAGAACAAACTCGTTTTAGGGGGCAACAACTCAAGAAATACACGTTACATTCATCGAGATTTATACGCAGAAATGTGCGAACAAATGTGCAAACAAATGTGCGACATCGCAGAAATCTCGATGTGGGGTATGTCCCTTCAGTCGTGAAAGTCCGTCACCGATCGTGAATATCAGAATATGCATGGTTCATATGCATCACCGATTGCTCAAGCGCATCGCCGATTCGATGATCACATTTAATGCCTCTTTGGCGTTCCATATAGGCCTGAAACAAAGATAAGAGAGTACCGAGAGGGCGCCTGTACTGTAGAAATAGAATTAAAAAAGCACTCCCCGTGGTCGGTCGGTCGTGTACGTACGCATGAAAACAGAACCTGGAAAAGAGCAGAAGTCAAATTTCAAAAGCCCCATATTTTACCCCAAAACCCGCCATGACGACTCTAAAACATGACCCAAAGGTGAGTACAGTATTTAAGGATATTATAAATTATAAATTATATTGTCGATACGATTTGGTAAAGAAAAGAAAAGAAGCGACCCCAACATCATGAACATGCATGACATGTCGAAGGCGCGTAGGCCTACTTTAACTTAAGTTCTAGAATTAGAACAGAAGGCTCTGTGACTTGTGAGTTACAACATAATTCTACCTCCATGGTTACAACTACTAGCACTAGCATGATGATTTTTCGGTGGTCAGTAGACAGTACGCTATTGCTTTTGAAAATGCACTGTCATGACTGTGATAGACGAAATTCCTTTGTCAGTTTAACTGACAACTTGTTGTAGTATACCATGTATACAGCGCAGCGTATTCAGCTCGCCAAAAAGACGTAATAATGTACTGTTGCGCGATGCAAAGCATACATTCCCCGGCCACACTTGTAGCCGAAAATGTAGAACTTTGTTAAGTTTTGATTTTCATGTTTAGACTTTGTAGTTAATTATTTTAATACGCTTTAGAAGCACACTCACCCTCTTTAAAGCGATAGAAAAGTAGTCTCTCCTTCCTCAGACGTCTATTTTTTGTGTATTTCCAGGTTCGTTTGCACACGTTTGCATATCTACATTACAAAATTACACTTTACACGAAAAATAGATGTCTAAAAAATGCCGGACATCTTTTCTAACGCTATAAATATCACTACAAAATTAGTCTAAATGTGACAATCAAAATGTACATTTTTGGGTACATGTTCCAAGATTTCCCCTGGCCTTATTTTGGGGGTAGCCCAGCAAATGGCCACATTTATGGGGCTAGAAAACTACAGCCCCAATGCTCACCAGGAATTTGACATTTAGAGCTGGAGACAAAATTACGTTGTGCATAGCAGATCGAAAATGGCAGAGTCCCAAAACGGACTCCACAAAAATGGTCCTTTTCCCTGTTCTTCAAACCCAGATGACATGACACATACTTCATACTGTGCAGTAGACCCAAGAACGTGACGTCAATAACAACGACACTCATAATTGAGTCCCATGAAATACTGGACTTCCTCCGTATTTACAGTCACACATTCTATATACGGCCTTTTTATGCGGAAAGTCCCGTTGCTAGGGGAGCAGAAAATCAATTTAAGATCGAAATTATTTTGTCGCTTGAAAATCACCCCAGCTATAGTATGACTGCTGAATAGCAAAAAAACCCGTTGAATTCGGTACCATCAGAGGTCTAGTTATCCAGTAATCATGGTTATTTGGGAACGAATTCCAACTGTTTTCAAAAGGCATGGCGTCTCTGATATTTACCAGACGTTTCCCCCCCCCCCCTAAAAAAGTCAAAAGGCCAATGGGGTCAGGGAACCAGACTAGAGCTATAATTATCTACTGAGTGTGCGTCAACTTTGACAAAGTGCACCGCGGCTGTTGCCTGTCATTCAAAAATCTTTGGAGCTCTCTGAAGTACCCAGATGCAGTACGCGGCCATGGGTGAAGAGCACACACACTGCAGATCGAGCTCCACAGATTAATGAATGACAGGCAACAGCTGTGGTTGACTCTGGAATATGAAATGCAGAACCCTGGTATAGTCCCTCAGCGTTGATTGGCATAACTTTGAATGATTGGGATGATTGACAGATCTTGGCTGTTTTAGAAAACCGTATGGCTGAATAACAGAAAATTCTTTGTAGGCAAATAGAAATTAAATCCAGTTTCCCTACTTGTATAATAAGGATATCACCGAGCGTGAACAGGTTCGGAAGGTATTCTTGGGGGGTCTGAATTCAGAAACTCTGGAGGCAACCCTGCGAGACCACTTTGGCCAGTACGGGGATATGACAGACTGCTGTGTTATCCGGGATGCAGCCAAGAAGTCACGGTGCTTTGGCTTTGTTACCTTCACCAAGATGGCCATGGTGGATGCAGTCATGGCCGACTTCAAAGAGAAAGGAGGCCCCACGTTGGATGGCAAGACAATAGAAATTAAGAGGGCGATTCCACGAGAGGTGAGCATACATGTACAATGTAGGCCTAATCAAGCTTTGACAAAGTGCTGCAGTGATATGTACCCAGTGCTTTCTTCCATTCTTTGTCCACTGCACAATTCTCAAATTGTTGCCAAGCTGATACCATTTTCTGCAGGTTAACTCGCACATTGGCAGCAATAAATTAAATAATTTCAAGGATGGTTTGAATTTGTCATTCTGAGGCACACATCTTTCCTTGGATCAGCTGATTCCTCATTTTTTTAAATTTTCTTTGCGAGATACTAAGACGTAGAAGACTTTGCTGTACAAAGTTCTGTATTTCCCTGATAGGCCCTATTTTTTGTGAGTTCCCCATCTGCATGCGATCCTACTCTTAACATGATACATACATGTACCTTACATGGTTGATATACAATGTACAAGTAAACGTGTAAAGTACACAGCTCCCCTTTAATTGAGAGATTTCTATAATAAGAGTCAGGGCTCGAAAAAAAGTGGCATGCACTGGTGCATGTAGACCAAAAAACCTACATGCACCAAGAAAAACCCACATGCACCATAATTGACTTACACCCGTCTGCTTCTCTGAAGGCATTCTTTCTCTTTGATTTATCGAACTTTCTACAGACAGTACACCCGTGAACGTGGCGTTGTATACAACGCCACGCTGTTGTGGCATTTCGAACATGGCGAAATTGATCCGCCATACATAATTTCGTACATATGTTGAGTACTCACATAGAAAGCTAAATTTGCCTTCCCGCGTGTTCAGTATGTGTCATTTCGATGAAATTTGCCGTTGATGAAGACCCATACGAACGTGTAGAAATTAGATTTTAACCTGACAAGTGACACAAGTTACCCAGGGTCATTTGCGTGCAAAATTATCGGAGCCCTCCGAGCTACCCGTCTGCTTCATGTGGCGCATGTGATAGGTGGCGTCCGATTGGCCAATAACGAGACCACGTGATAAACGCAGCTAATAATTTGGAATCACACTTATGATCCGGACATAAGGAATGCCCGGAGCGTCAGTGCGATACCAAATTATCCGCAGCATGTATCACGTGGTAAATCGCATGCATGATCGGAGGAGGTTGCAGAACGTCGGGATCTTCAAATTTTACCGCGTACTCTGAATCTGCTGCGAGGAATAATTTATGGATATATAGAAATAACACGTTTGTACACTATCTGGTCAAGTATTCAACAAACTTTATTCTTATTCTCACTCATTTGTAAATAGTAAATATATGCATGGAATGAGTATTTTGGTGGCTAAAAAAGTTACATGCACGTCGTGCATGCTCAGTAAAAAGCTACGTGCACAAGCAAAAATCTACGTGCACTGGTGCATGCGTGCACCCGGGTAAATCGAGCCCTGATTAGAGTCCAGTGATAGACAGCTGTAGTATTGTTTAATACATACATCACTCCACAATGTTTGATCTCCATCCCTTGTTTTGCTACACTCTCCAAAACACTTCAATATTTGCAATTTCGCTTGTAAAGTCGATAGCCTGTGAGAGAGCAACATTTGGTTAACTCAAAAGGGTCCACACGGCATCATCATAGGTCAGTTTTTCACAGCGAGTAGCATGGCATTTGCTATATTACTATCTTGTAGTGTACAGCCAAAAAGACTACATTGTGTAAAACGGCTGCGTCGGTCTGAGAAAGTACTTCTATGTGCATAGAAATTGACTTTTAGCAACCAGAGGTCTGTTTGCACATTTGCATACAGGTGTGCGTGTTGCACATGTACATGTTCCCACGTGCTACTTTTCATGAAGAGGTAGTTTGGAAAAGTGCTCGTAACTTTCCAACAATTTTTGTTTGAAAGAATCAGATTCAGTTGTCTTATAGAATCAAACTAAATCTGTGGGTGAAGTGTTATAAAAGAAATATTCACTGCTCCAACTCATGTACTCGTGTAGCCTCCCTCTGTGATCCATGGAGCGTTCCATTACATGGATCACCTCAGAAAACTAGTTTTACAACACTTCTTGAAGCAGTCAATATTTGCACACCATATTGATGTGTATGGAAATGTTTGTGCTCTTTTTTAAGCCAGGATTCTTGTGAAGGTGCTGCCAAGGAGAGAGTAAAGAAGGCATTCGTAGGAGGCATCCGGGAAGAAACGACAGAGGAAGACCTTCGGGAGTACTTCAGTAAATATGGCGTCGTCACAGAAGTCAAGATTCCCACCGATAAGACCACAAAGAAACGAGGTTTTGCCTTTGTCACTTTTGATGACCATGATATCGTCAACAAAATAGTAGGTAGGTAGAAGTCTCTTCCTTTTGGCAACAATGGTTTCATTTAAGTTTACTGAAACCTTCATCTTTCTAAATTTGTCAAGCCCAACACCAGGCTTTGATTTTCTGTTACAACACTATGCCGTTCATTTAATGAAGTGTTTTGAATTTTTGTGCACTCAGGAATATCACTTGCAAGACTATTCTGGGGCTAGGGGTCATTGAACCTTCTACAACTATCTTGATGAACTGAAAGTGTTTTAATTAGAAAATTGTACTTCCTGCATTAACTTTTTTTACGTGGAGAATTTATTGATTGGGAAGCTTGATGCTGTTTTTTCCCCCTTGATTATGCAAATGTTTTTACAGCATAGAGCTGTATGAATATTGTACTCCAAGTTCACAAAATGATGTTTCCTTTCAACAGCAATAAAGACTCACTACATCAACGATAGACGGTGTGAAGCTAAGAAGGCTGTGCCCAGAAATGTGATCACCAAGAAAGACGGTCCTGACAACTTCGGCGGTGGTGGTGGTAACTTCAGAGGTGGGGGTAAGTGCTTTAATGGAGGCGGCCTCCAAAAAGGAAGCGAGCGGGGACGCTGAATTTTTTTTTTTTTATTTGGCCTTATTGCAAACTAAAAGTTGCGATGTGTTTTATTTTCTGGTGGACAGATTTTGGAAATAACTTTGGCAATGACAGAGGTAACTTCGGCGGCGGTCTCAACAATGGAGGAAACTTTGGTGGTGGGCAAGGTTTTGGAGGAAACTTTGGAGGGGGCCAAGGATTTGGTAACAACTTTGGTGGAGGTGGGGGAGGATTTGATGGTGGAAACTTTGGAAACAGTAAGTAAAAAGTTAGGTTTTTTGTTAATTTCTTAACAACTTTGATATATCAATATTTATTAATTATTCATAAATACCTAAGACAGTTTACGCATTCCTATTGGTCGAGAGCCCGTCACGTGGCCGGTCTTAAACGGATGATAAAGACATGGCTAGCTGGTCTTAAACACTTTTCCAGTGTCACAATAAAATGTGGACTCCTAAAAATCCAGTGCCTCTTATCGTTTCATTCGTTGAACGTTCACAATCCTCACGTAGGCATGCGCAACACTACCAGGGAGTCAGAATTTTAAAGTTCTAAATTCAAAACGCAACGCGCCAGGTGCGTTCTGTGCGACATCGCGCAGAACATGATACGCGCGCGTCAATCTCCATAAAAGGGTTGTTTACATCTTACTCGCCAGCTGAACACTCCATTATTTTGCAAGAGGGATGTTTCAAAAAGCATAAAGTGAATTTGTTGAACAAAATCGGGATGTTTCGAACGAATTATATGATTTTTTCTTACCGAAAAGGTATTTATGAATGGGAATAAATATGTGCTCCGTCGGTATTAGAGTCTGGGTGCTGATAATTACCCTCGCCTCCGGCTCGGGTAATTATCAGCACCCAGACTCTAAGTGGTCTTAAACAGAGTGATAAAAACCTCCGAAGCACACATTTATTCCCTTAGTTCTGCTTTGCTAATGTTATTGATCAACTGCAGTTGCTAAATATTTAAGGCAGAAAATGAGTGTAAAAACAAACGATTTGTTGACTTTTTTCATAACCAGATTGGAACAATAGTGGAGGCAGTGGTGGTTACAATAGCTTTGGGAGGAACTACAGTGGGGATAGTTCAAACTTTGGCCCCATGAAAGGCACACAGTTCAACAACAGAGGCCAGACTCCATACAGTGGTGAGTTCATTTGTCATTTTTCTATTTACAGGTTTTCGATAAGTTGTTTTACTAATGTCTGACATCTGTGATTTGAGTGGTTTGAGTTTATTTCAGAAAATGAATAAATTCAAGCTACAAGAAAGCTATTTTGAAGAGTTAAAAAATGTTGTAAAAAATCCTTCCTTTTTTGGCTCATCACAGTAAGTAATGAGCCTAACGTACTACATTTCAAGAATTAAAACGCTAAATGGGTTAGAAGTGATCTTGGCATGTTAAGATTCAGAAAATAGATTCATGCAACACAGGGGGTAATACTGCGTTGCATATCTAATGAGGGTGCATGGCAACGCGAAAATCGCGATGTAAACAAGGCCATTTTATCCTCCATATACCCGAAAAGTTTAAACTTATAAACTTTAATGAAGTAACAGTCCTTTTCACCGATGTATAAACTTCCTCTCTACACCCGAGCAAGATCTTTCGAAACATTAATAGCTTCCGAACAGCCCGAGATTCTTGTTGTAAGGATTTTGTCATGTCCATAGTTTTGCAATCGAAAATCGTAGATTTTATGTGGACATTTACAAGTTGCTGAATTCATGGGCACATGAATGGTGATTTAGCGTGGCCAAAATTATGCTTGAACAAACCTCAGTACAATCCAAGTTTGGAAATTTATTGGAAGACTAATGACATATTTCCATTTTCTACTTATTGTTCTCATCGTGATATATTTAAATCACGCATTTTAAACACGGATGTTTAAAATGTACTTCAGTGGTGCACCCAGAGTTTGCCTTTGGGGAGGGTTTTTTTTATAAATAATTTTTTTGGGGGGGGGGGAGGCGCCACATACACCCCTATTATACTGTGCCACATACACCCCTATTATACTACTCAAAAATAGGCCACATACTGTACATGTCACCAAGGTCAATTCGTGGGACTAAAAAAAAAAAATTAAAAAAAAACACCTATTGGGGGGCTCAAGCCCCCTGACACCCCCCCCCCCCCCCCCCTTGGGTGCGCCACTGCCCAACTCCACCTTTTTTGTTTCTTTACATCCCAGGAAAAGTTTACTTTTTGTTTTATACTTATTCTAAGAATGATAGTAATTAACATTTATTTTATACTGATTTACAATGCGCTAAAAAATGCGCAAGAAAAGAAAAGAAAAATCACCACATTTTCCAATTTTTTTTTGAAATATCAACAGTAAAAATTGGTAGTGCAAGAGTTTATTGTATCCTGGGGTAAATATGAATTATTCCTGAAAGCTTATACAGGAGGACCAGCAGCATGAATGAAGGTCGAATTTTCATGTGTGTCATAAACAAGATCATGATTATGTAAATAAGCACTAATGTCACGCATGTGCAAAAACTAAATGCCCCTTGGGAACATGTGTGGCCCATGGATATGGTAAATTTAGATTTGAAGTATTAGTATTTCAAATGGCTCACTGGGCTCAGTTTTCTTATATTTTTTCCCATACAGGTGGCAATGGATATGGCAACAATATGGGGAGGAATATGGGAGGGAATATGGGTGGTAATATGGGTGGCAATATGGGTAACATGGGTAACATGGGTAACATGGGTGGGAATATGGGTGGTAATATGGGTGGAAATATGGGAAACATGGGTGGCAATATGGGTAACATGGGTGGCAACATGGGTGGCAATATGGGTACTGGTACCAATATGGGTAACATTGGACGGGGAGTGGGTGGAGGAATGGACAATATGGGTGGGGGAATGGGAAACATGGGTGGGGGAATGGGAAACATGGGTGGGGGGATTGGAAATATGGGTGGGGGGATGGGAAACATGGGTGGGGGGATGGGAAACATGGGTGGGGGAATGGGAAATATGGGTGGGGGGATGGGAAATATGGGTGGAGGGATGGGAAACATGGGTGGGGGGATGGGAAATATGGGTGGGGGGATGAACAATATGGGGGGAGGCATGAGTGGTAGGATGAGTGGAATGAATAACGTTGGTGGGAACATGATAGGTGGGAACATGGGCAGTGGTGGGGGGAGTGGCTATGGGAGGGGAGGCAACTATGGATCAGGAGGAGGAAACAGTGGATACAGCGGCAGTTCTGATGTGGGAGGTGGTGGCAGGAGGTTCTAACCAAACCCAGGCCGGCGTCTGAACGGTTTTGAAAGGTGAAGTACATAGAATTTCATGTCGTTAGGGTTGTTCATATCAGTGGCGCACCCAGGATTTGGCTTGGGGGGGGGCTCACAATTTTGTTTCGAATTTTTGACAAGTTTAATTTTGTTTCAAAAAATGTTGCCCGTTTTTGGCAGCATAAAAAAATTGGGGTTTTTTTTTCGGGGGCCGGACTATTTTGACGTTGGTGGCGCCACTTGCACTCCTAGTAAACTACTCGAAAATAGGCCATGACCAAGGTCAAATTGTGGGACTAAAAAAAAAATTGACAACCTCTGGGGTTGTCAAGCCCCCCAAGGCCCCCCCCCCCCCCCCCCCTCGGTGCGCCACTGGTTCATATTCTCACCATAGAACGTGTAAAAGTGCACTTCTTCCTAGGCTCCCATCTTTAGATTTAGAGAATTAGAATTTGAATGCAGCAATTTTTGAAGTATTTAATGTGCAAAGTTTTTTGGGTCCCCCCCCCCAACAGACCATCAGCTGAATCCATTTTTGGCTAGCTGCCTTGCATATTTGCCAGTTTCGAGTCTCACTTGGATATATATATTATGTTTGAAAAACGGGGAAAAATGTGAATAATTTTATCTGCTGACTGCAAATTTCTTGTGACTTGGTATATTTTTCCCTTTTCTGTTTTCTATTTCTTGTGCTCAGTTCTAATATTTAAGTTTTACTGTTTACTGCAGGCTTTTATAGGAGGGTTAGTTACCCCCGGCAGAGGGACAGGTTACTAGCAGGGAGAGACAGTAACACACAGTGACAGACATGGTGACACACAGTCAGAATCAGACTCATAGTTGTGTTTCACCTCTCAGGCTTGGCAGGACCCAAATGTACAGTGTATCATAGAACTTAGAATAGATGTGAGAAATGATTGAAGTCCTCAGATACTTTTGTAGCTTTATGTAGCCTCAATTCTTATCTAGTTAGAAAAATTGGAATATGTTATTTTTTGTACCTACATACAGATCAAACAAAATGGATGTATTTCATAACATAGAAATGGAATCAGGTTTTAGGAGTTGTACTTCGTGTATTTAGACACTAGCTAGAATTCACAAACTGTACGTTTAATCCACAACATGTAGGCTGTATTTCTTTTCAGAGCTGAAGAAAAAAATTTGTAAATATTACATTGTGGCATTGGTCTGATGTCAACAGGCCTGAAAAATTCTCAATATCATTGAATTCCATGTTATTCCAATAAAACTTATTTAAGAATAGTTTAACACTCATATCAGAGTTGTGTTAAAAATTGGTGGGATTCATGTACATGTATTTGTAGTTTATAGAATGACTTAGGTTTTTTGGCATAAAATGTGTATTTTGTTACAATTACATTCTATCATGTCAGCATTTAAATAATTTCCTGTTTCTGTTACTTAATACGTGTATTTCATTATACTGGTTAAACAATGAAGGAGCAGTAATTCATTGTTTGTAGAGAGGATATGTCCACGCTTTAACTCATTTTTTATTGCAAATTTGTTTGAAGTAGAACTAGTAAGAGATTTCCGCAAGACTATGTATGTACTTGTCCTAAAAACATCAAAAAACAACCACCAGATTTGATTTAATTCTTTCTAATTTATTTCTGATTGAAAAACCCCACTGAATTAGTCAAGTCAATTACACATTCGCTGGGCAAGGGTAGCTTGAAGTATATCAAGTACTTCATCCTGTGCTTTTTCGATACATAAAAGCAATGACGTTGACACATTTGGTACTAGAAGCCTGGAACTCTGCTTGGAAAATCTTGAGTTGGTGTTGATACAAAATGTTACATGAGCGAATTCTTTTGGATTATTAGGTGGGGGTTGGTGAATTAAATAAGAACCAGGTTCCTGTCAAAAGTACACCAAGCAGCTAGGCTCAGAGTTTTGGCAACGTTTTAAGATAGTCAACACTTGTTTTCAGGAAATCGAAATAGTTATTAGGGGAGGGCTAGTCCAGTGTTTAGTTTTACAGTTTCTGGTCCTTTGGAAAGCTTTCAAGTTGTGACTTTTTTTGAGTGTTTTAAATTTCTATGTGTACATTTATGTTAATTGATTATTGTAGCAGTTTCGTGCTTTGTTGATGAATGTAAAATCATACAAGCACATTGTGAGCCTCTTGTTTTTTCTTTCAGTGTTTTTTTTTTTTGGAAATTGAGTGGAATTATTTTAATTTAATTATCTGATAGCATATTTACACCAGACTTTTAAAAATAATGAACTAACTCAAAGCTTTGTGGTTTCAGGCATTGCATGGTATACATGTAGATTGCACTTTTAGATTATGTGTAAACGTAGGTTAAGTCAATAGAGCAGAAATTGGTTGTCAACCCTAGTGAAAGATGTAATAGTACATTTTAACTAAGGAAAGCATGATATGTTTTTTTATACTTGTATATATAATAGGACTAGGTTGATTAATGTTAGCATATTTCAGTTCTTTATACAGCAGCCACATTGTAGCATGTGTACCTTTTAATGTTTACTTGAGTAATTACATGTAGCTCTTTCCTATCCATGGACAAAATATTTGACAAATTGTGCATGTAAATTCTTTTCTTTTAGAACCACACATGTGCATACATTCAAGTATATGAATTCAATGGGCAGCTGTGTAGACCTTAAACATGTTCAACTTTATTCAGACCGAAGACAAGTCATCATACTTAAAATGTTTAAACATGGAAATTACCGAGGCATATACATATAGTTTTGTACTTTACCTCTGATTTTGATGTGTCAGTGGAAACTGAATATCTCTGGTGGTGGAAATGTTTTCTTAAATGCTTTTCTTGACTTTTTTTTAATAGAGATTAGATACTAGTATGTACATTACGAGGAAAATATTTGAATGTGTGGGAAAAAAAGTTATGTAATCATTCTTTTAGTAAGTCTTTGTGTTTTGATGGCCAAGCACTCGGAATAAATGCCAGTGTGCTAATATTTATGTAAAACATACTTTTAGAGGTATCAATTATTACAGAGGTATTAGCTTGAATCACTGATGTCGGACAACTTACATTTGATAAATCTTAGTTGAATGAGCAGATAGTGGTTTAATAAGGCTTGTTTCATCTTGGGGCAGATGCCATACTTGCCTAGAACACGCTGAGGATGAGACATATGCAGATTAGCCATTCGTATAGGTAGCCACAGGTAGGCCAACAAAGTTCCTTAAATTGTGCTAATTAATAATGGATTTACTCTCTCGTATGCAGTGCTGAGTCAAATGTCAGAGATATACTGACAAAAAAATGAAGTGCATTTTTAAGGTACGCTATTTATTTAGTTAAGTCTCTACAATTGTTAGGCACGTACGGTACATGTATTATGTATGTAGGGAATTTGTTTTGTGCATCTCTGCTCTAAGCAATAGACACCTTTAAAAAAAAAAGCCCATACCCATTTTCTTTATAATTAGATTTTAAAAGATGAATTTGAAAGTTTTCCCGCATCTTCCTTCATTAAAACAAAATCTTCCGAACAATTTTTTAATAGGGCGAACTAAAAATTTCCCAATGTTTGACGGCTAAATATTTTGCCCAGATCCATGCCCAATTTAATCTTTCCAACTTTTTTTTTTGGTTCAATGTGTGCACATATTTACAGTACTGCTGTACATCATGGTGGGAGATTGCACATGAATGTGGTGTGTGAGGCCGTTGCCAAAGCTTCTGGCCTCCATTAATCAACCATACTGGTAAGAAATTTATGAACTTGTGTTTTGGGAAAGTAAGTGCATAAACATTTACGTTTCGCGATGGGGTTTTTTGGGGCTTTCTCCGGCAATGTTGTCTACATTGCTTGCAAACTGCATTTAACGGTAGTTTGTAACTAGGAACTCTATGAGAAGTCCACCGTATCAAAAAGTGGAAATTCAGGTTCCATCCCAGACTTCAGTTAGGAACTGACTTGACTTACCCCTCCCCCCCCCTTACGCAACTTCCCCACAAACCACCACGGTATCAAGTTAATTAATTACATGTTCAAGTGAAGGAATACAAGATACTGGCTATTGTATTTGAAAGTTGCACATAATGCTACAGGATAGAAGGAAAGATGTAGGATCAAAAGGAAGTTTATCTAATTTTCAAATGACGAAAGAGACTAGGACTTAATTTCATTTTGAAGGAGAACAAAGAAAGGATGAACTCAAGAGGAAAGACCTGCAAGTACAACTCTCAGGCTTCTGATAGATGAGTCTCACTCAGTATTTCAGGGCATATAATATGAGGCTAATTCTAATGGGGTCCGCTCATAAGTCCGACGCCTCATATAAGGGGCCATTCAGAATTTTCAATGTTTTAAAATTTCGACTTTTTTTCCAAATTATTTTGACCCACCCACCCACCCCTAATTTCGATTAATAAAAAACTGAACATGTACATGTACATGTACATGCACTTGCATGTACATATACTTGAACATGAACATGTATACCCATGTACATGTGTGTCTAGTTCAGTGACGGCGTGAAGTTTTCGGTCTTCCTCTTTTGCACTGGTGACCTTCAGTTTTCTTGTGTTTTGCCAGCTGATATGCTGTTGGGAATGACAGGTTGCAGTTTTGGAAGCCACAAAGATGACCGTGGTTTTGTCGTTTTCTGGATGAGGTGGATGACATGTGACATACGAGGTTGTGCCTGTCACGTGAGGTAGCTGAGAAAAACATTCGCTCGTCCCCCCCCCCCCCCCCCCCCCCCCCCCCCCCCCCCCCCCCCCCTGTTTGCAGGGCGGGGGTACGAGCGAAAGAAAAACATCAGGTTTGGGCAGACATCACATCACGGGCTGCGGTCCTCGTAGTCTTGAAGTCCAGTGGTTGAATAGTCAGTTTTTATAGCGATTGGTAATAGACGCCCGCGGCGCGCGTAATTTTTATTCCTAGGAGGGTTAGGGGCAATGTCATGAATAATTCATGTTTATCCATGAGAACGGACAATGACATCAACAGCATTGTTGTTAATTACTCAACTAGTTACAATACATTAAAGCATTTTAAAGAACGGTTGTCGTCGAGCTACCACCCAGTAGCCTAGTGGATAGCGAGATGAGCTATGGATACAAAGATCCCTGGTTCGAATCCACGTCGTCGCTGCTCATTTTCATCAGCCATTTTTCTTCTCCAAATTTATCACTGAGATAATTTTAAATTAAGGGGAAAATAGAACGAGAACCTAAGTCTTGCAATGATTCAAAGGAAAAACTGAATTATTCGTGACATTGCCCCTAACCCTCCTAGGAAAAAAAAATTACGCCCGCGGCGCGTTATAGAGCCGATCTAGTACACCTCTGGTACCCTGCTGCCTCTGCACGGCCTAACCGCTACAAACGCCCGGCGTCCAAGTCTATATACACGTACATGACGTACATGTACAGTGCATATACAGGGGACGAAGTTGGAAAAGAAACACGCATCGCGATATCGGAACGCTTGCGCGTAGTTCAGGCAAGTCAAAAGATCTATCTTTTTTTTAAATTTTTTTTTAAATCTTTTTCCATGGAAAGTGAATTTCGATTTTCAATTTTTTAGCTTGACCCACCCACCCACAATTTGGAAAAAAGATCGAAATTTTAAAACATTGAAAATTCTGAATGGCCCCTAAGTCTGACAAAATCGCATCCCCTAACCAAATAAAGGCCCATAAGTCCGACGCCTCATAGCTCCGACGTCTCATAGCTCCGACGCCTCGTAGGTCCGACGAAAAGCGCATCGTTTTTCCGACGTCGGACTAATGAGGCGTCGGACTTATGAGGCGTCGGACCTATTAGGCGGAATAAATACATTTTATGCCTCATACGTCCGACGCCTCTAAGTCCGAAATTTCGGACTTCTGAGACGTCGGGTCTACGAGGCGTCGGAAGGCTTATGATACGGCTCCATCCTAATAATCAGTTAAATAAGACATGCACCAGGATCTGGATGAGAACCACAGCAAGGGCGGATCCAAGGGGGGGGCCAAAGGGGACCATGCCCCCCCCAAAAAAAAACGAGACTATTTTTTTTTTTCATGTGACATCGCAATAAAGGCAGGCAATGAGTACACCACCATCTTTTCCTTAAAAAAAACATAGGTTAAAGTGGTCAGAAATTGCCTCAGATCGCACCACAGAGCATCTAGAATCCAAAAATTTGTCGGGGCCCTTAAGCGGGCCCCGAACCCCACGCCGTAATTTTTTTGACCCACTTTTTGGGGGGGTCAAAAAAAATTTTGGGCCCCCCCAAAAAAATTGTGTTCTGGATCCGCCCTTGAACCACAGAGGCTCACTCAAATGGTTGGTCAGCAAAAGGGTTTCTTCCGTTGTGACGAGACCTATAAAACATTCCGTGATGCCTTCTACAACACAATGTCCATGATTTTCATGCGTTTTTCACGAGTTAACAAATTGCATGTTTTTAAAACAAAACTTGATAGTTTGTTCGTAGCTGGAAATAGAACAGAGACATGAGGATGATGTCCATGACTACTGTCTGATCCAATTCCAGAGGCTGGTGGATCGCAAACCACATGCAGTTACTCATTGATCAGGTTGGTGAGATAAATAGTGTTTCTATCATCATATGGGCTAATAGATGTCAAACCAAAATCCGGTATGATCAGATGGGCCACACAAACGAGGCTGATTTGCAGAATCTAATGCCATCCAATTTTAGTTCAGTTCCACAGTCTTCAAATAGATGAATAGGTGAAGTTATACAGCTATTCCACCATTGTCAAAACCGGCACTGCTACGAACAGCTGATCAAACTAATGTTCTGCCTTGTCCGCAGATAACCTCTTGAAAGACATTCAAACTACAACAAAAGAAAACGGCTTTCCTGACACTGTCTCTGAAACGATTGTTCAAATAGTTGGGTTTGATTTAGCAAGGTCTGAACTTTTATCTTAAACTGATCTTTTTAAAAGGTATGTATTTTCATCTTTAATCAAATCTGTATAAAAAAAAAATTGACAAGTCAGTATTCATAAAATATACAATGGACACAAGAACTAATTTAGTGAATGTTTATCCCGGGTAAAACTTTTGACCAAATTAAATATGAAGTAAATTCTTTAAAAGTCGAATCAAATATGAATTTTATTAGTAAACCTCATACCGGTACCGTTTACATCATGAGTTCTTGCAGTGAACTGTTTATATGAAAATAAATTTAAACTGAAATAGGGCGTATGTTATGTACGTACATGTACATAATTATATATAGACATTGTGTCACGGCTTTGAGTAGACCTTCCCCCCCCCCTCCCATTAAACCATTGATTGGATAACCTCTGCGCGCGCAGCGTGGCGGTTTATTTTGGAACCATTATTCAGCTTTGTGCTTGGACGATACACTGAACTTGAACACACGGTTGTCAACAAACCGACTCTTGTACAAAAATATAGACGCAAAATATCTAGTGTTTCCATGAAGGCAACTTTCAAGTATTTCGGTTTGAAATACTGAACAGTACATGAATTGATATTTGCCAGAGACACTTTCGCCTTGAAATCAGCAAAAGTCGAAGTTCATCATCACTGCACATCAGTGGCGTAGCCAGGAATTTTTCAGTGGGGGGGGGGGGGGGGGGGGGGGGGGGGGGGGGGGGGGGGGGGCTTTCATGGGGGGGGCGTCATGTAGATCAATGATAATTTTTTTAGAAACTCGAAATCTCAGTGGGGGGGGGGGGCGACAAGGTTTCATGGGGCTACGCCACTGCTACACATTCGAAACTGCACATTAATTTGTGGCATTCTGCAATGGGATGGTTGCGCGATATATGATAATTCATATCAAGAGGTTGGCGGAATTAAGAACTATGCACGCCATGCACATAAATTGCATGCATTAGGGGGAAAGCCTCCTAATGTTTCAGGATTTACTGCTAGCTACCTGTCCCCATAAAAGGACAATTATAGGGAAAGGGAGCCAGAATAGGCTTTGGGCGGTACCAGTACCCGCCATTTTCGGCCTGACATAAAATACTTAAAACTAATTATAGGGCTTTTTAGCATTTCACGGTTTTTTTTGTTTTTTTTTTAAGTTTATGCTTTGTTTGTCCATGATGTGCAATCATGTTAAATAATATTCAATTTCATGTACGAACAACGGTTCTGTGATTCAAATGCTGCTTCGGCATACACGAGTTTGAGCTCTAATTGTTTTAAATCCATAAAAATTATGATCACGCCTTTAAATGAGACTAGTTCACACGTTTGCTGTTGAATAATAGTATTCTATTCGCACCACTGCTTTGTTCAGGCTCTAGAGTGTTTGTTTTTTGCCTGTCAGTCTTGTATGCTGCTCGTCTTTTATACACAATATTTGGACTCCAACTTTTCCCTCACCGTTTTTGTTTGTGTCCATCATTCAGTGAACATCCGCGACATCTGCTGAGCATCATGCATCACGAGGACAGACTGGGGGCTACGGTGTTCAGTCAGTTAGCCGAATGATTTCTTCAATCCGCACCACCCTACTACAAAAAGACTTCATAAAATGTGTGTGTGTGTTTTTTTTTATTTTTTTATTTAGCTCAATATAATTTAAGGGAGATACCACACTGAAAAAAGTGAAAACCTCATGTTGGTCAAGGTTGACATTATCTTGCAACTTGCATGGGGAAGATCAGGTGGCAAAAATATTCTCTGGTACATTTGGGAGATATGTTGAAAAAAAATAATTGTAAATTTACCACAAAAATAACTATATATATTTTGGAGAACATTCTGTCGGTCATCAAGATAATTTATGGGTCGGTGATTTGAAAATAATGAAATTAGTCACATGCCCAACCTTCCCCTTTTTTCTCATTTGTTTTCTTTTAGTGCATAATTTATAGCTAAGGCCAAGTTCGGGCAAGGACCATTAGTCGACTAGTGGTCGATTTGTGACGTACCTTACGCCTGCGCAGTAATAGCAAAGTGCGAACGTCTCTAGTCGAACGCTGGTCAAAATGTCATTGCAAAACGTCTGGATCCTGGCTCCCTGCTGTACGTTATGAACGCGCGCGGCTATGGTTACCAGCGAAGCTGGTTCCAGTAGGCTGGTTCCAAATAGTCGACTAGCGTAGTCAACCATCGTCGACTAGACAGAGTTCGGGCAAGCGTTAGTCGACCAATGGTTAACTATAGTCCTTGCGCGAACTTGCCCTAAACGTTCACAAATTCTTTGTATTTATGTCTTTAAATATACCAAAATGTACTTTATTCACAACTTTCCTTATAACTAATTGAGATTAGGGTTTAATGAGATTATATCGCTTGTCAACAGACATCATTATTTAATCATTTCAAGATTTAAAAAAATGAAAGTGAATTCATGCCTCACGTCTTTTTAACATCACGGGTGCAGTACTACATTGTTATATTCACTGAGTGTTGGAACTTTGTAAGAATTGTTAATTTATAACTTGGTATAAACTATTTTTGAGCGTGGAAATATACCTTGATCAACAATGAAATAAATCCTTTAGAAAACATTATTTGATTTGATTGCTTCTATTTCTTATGTTTTTACAGGAAACGGAACTTTAGTCATGTGACTTATATGATTAGTCCGTAAGACAAAATATCATTTCAGGCGTAGGGCAGTACTAACTTTTATTAGTCAAAATGACAAACTTATGTTTACAGTGCACTCTTTATAGAGACAATAACTCCAGCAAAACAAATTGTATTGATTTGAATTTTTTTTCAATATTTAGTCGTAATGTAAATGACTTAAAAAATATCGACGGAAATCTTGAAATAAAAAATACCCACTCTTTTGTGGCGCCGATAATTTAAGTATATACGGCATCACCGATTCGATGATCTCATTAAATGCCTTTTTGGCGTTCCATAGCCTTACAGGCCACGCCGCGCATGCTAAAAACGTGATGATCAATTTCTTGGGACCACTGATAAAATGTGAACCAGCGGTGTCAGGTCAACTCGCCCCCTGGCCGACTCGCCCCTTACCGACTTGCCCCTTACCGACTCGCCCCCTGACCGACTCGCCCCTTACAAGCTCGCCCCCTGGCCGACTCGCCCCCTAGCCGACTCGCCCCCTCGCCAACCCGCCTTCTAGCCGACTCGCCCCCTGACCGACTTGCCTCCTGACCGACTCGCCCCCTGGAAAAAGATGCACCGTACGGGGACATTGTGAAAAAATTAAAATTAAAGACAGTGGAGGAGAACACATTGCCCGGTATAATGTGTGGTAACTGCGGTCACATATATACTTACTTTGTTAGTACACTTGTATACACTTTAAGTTTAACTACCAGTGTTTCCATGTTCTTTTGAAGTCTGCAGGCTATAAAATAATTTAAATGAATTAATCGTCTGCATTCTGCAAGTGTTGTCGAATCACTTCAAGAAATGTCAAGGCCTGAGGAAAATCGTTTATTTGTATTTTTTTTTGGGGGGGGCTCCGATTTTCTTTAAAAGAAAACAAAAAAAACAACCTTTTATTTAACGGAAATGCAAACTGCATCCAAATTCCAATTTCCAAAATATGAAAAACTTTGCCTGCACAAATTTCCCGAAAGCGGCAGCATTCCTAAGCTGCCGCTTTCACATACAAGGTTTCAAAATAGTCACATACAAGATTTCTGGCTGCGCAACCGGCAGTCCCAGGCGTCACAGGGGAGCCTCCTAGCAACAGTATTTCTAAGCAACCAGGTTGGAATGTGATGGGCATGCAGCCATGCACCTGTGGCTCAGATAGCTAATCACTCCAGTTGTGCGTGGAAGGAAGTCATATTCATGAATCAGACGATCCGTGATGAAAGCAACCAATGGCATATTTATTTGCCGGGAACCGGCTCATTTCATTGGCTGAGATACTATCATCACTGTTTATCATCTAAGAATCTTCCAATTACTGGCGGCAAGTTCTCAAAGGCCTTAAAGTTCGGTGGCCTACAGCTGAACCCAAATTTATATGCTTTGTAACGAACAAGAGTGGCATTGTATCAATTTGAACAATGCGGCTATCAATCATTCTCTGGAAAGGCTTTTCGGAGCTGAGATTTTATTTGGGCATTTTTTTTTTCTCAGAGACAGGGGAAAACTTTTTGCGAAAAATGTGGGAAACTGAATTGGACGTGAAATTTCACCTCCGTGTTGTGTACATGCACATAGATAAACGATTGGGGGATGATATTCCAAGTCCAAATAATTCATTAAATGTAGGGCTCCCGATGGTTTTTTTTCGTAGTACGATTTTATTCTTCGCTTATTTAAAAATAAAACTGCATGGCCTACATTTTTTTGTAAATGTTACTCTAGAATATAATTATTTCGGAATACATTTTGAAATTAAGTTTGAAGTCAAAGGGATGTTGATAATCTTATTCGTATTCCTTTTAAAATTAGGAAAAACTAAGCAGAATTCGTATTAAAATTTCCCCTGGAATCTACAAAAGAATAAACTGAGAGTTCATGGGCTAGGGTGTTTGAAATCGTTTTACTTTAAAAAAATAAATCGTGAGAACAAGACATACTAAATCGTATTACTGAGGCCGGGACAATATAAAAGGGATGACGATTACTTCTTCGTGTATTTAAAAAATAAAACGCATGGCCTACATTATTTTGTGAATTTTTTTTACTCTAGAATATATTTTGGAATATATTTTGACGCTATTATTTGAGGGATGTTGTTAATCCTGATCATATTCATTTAAAAATAAGAAAAACCGAGCATAATTCGTATTAAATTTCCCTGGAATCTACAAAAGAATTAACTTAAAGTGCAAATTTTAACGGGCTAGGTTTTTTTAATCATTTTGCTTTTAAAAAAATATTTAGAGAACCAGACGTAAATCTCTCTCTGAGGCCGGGAAAATAAAAAAGGGGATGACGATTTTATTCTTCATTTATTAAAAAAAAAACACATGGCCTACATTATTTCGTGTACCGGTACATGCTCTACTCTAGAATATATTTTGGAATATTTTTGACATGAAGCATTAAATAAAAGTGCTGTATTAAATGTGCCCCTATTCCAGCCGGGAAATAGAAGAGTGTCTTATAAAAATATATTCTAACCCATCCGCTACGCGCAGGCCCCACGGGCACCGACTCCGGAAAAATGACGCTTGCATTTGTACCAGAAATCCTTCAAATTGGTGTTCGAATAATGTTACAATGTACGTGTTCCCCTCCACTGTCTTTTATTTTTTATTATTTTTTTCACGATGTCCCCGTACGGTGCATCTTTTTCCAGGGGGCGAGTCGGTCAGGAGGCGAGTCGGTCAGGGGCGAGTCGGCTAGGAGGCGGGTTGGCGAGGGGGCGAGTCGGCTAGGGGGCGAGTCGGCCAGGGGGCGAGCTTGTAAGGGGCGAGTCGGTCAGGGGGCGAGTCGGTCAGGGGGGGAGTCGGTAAGGGGCGAGTCGGTAAGAGGCGAGTCGGCCAGGGGGCGAGTTGACCTGCAATCGAACCAGCGAGTTCGGTTGGGGGGGGGGGGGTGCGGGCGCAGGGGGTGCAAGGCGAAATATTATTTTCCCAAACAACATCCGCATTTATGATACGTACGCAGGTATATAGATAATGGAGGTCCATGGAGGTAGGAATAGAATTGAGATCATGGGGGGGGGGGGCAGTCATGGGGTTGAGGGTGGAAGTGGGGACGAAATTAACTTGGTTTCAAATTCATAAGGATATAACAGTTCAGAGAGAGTGTGTGTGGTCATGGTGTGGTTCCTTGCTCTATGGATTTACGTACACGTACGGGTGAGAAAATAAAATTTAAACAATTATAGAACCCGACTTCTGGCAGCCGAGAAACAACCTTAACAAACAGGGGTATCCGGGCGCGGATGCAGATGGGGGGACACCCGTGCCCCCCCCCCCCCCCCCCCCCCTTTCGCAACTGTGTTTTTTTAATATATTTTTTTACGAGTTGTCTTAGGGCGGGCGGGCATTAAATACATCCCTTTGAGAACATGGCTATCTTTTTCGTTTTTGAGGAGTCATTATGGCGGGCGGACGGGCGGTCATCAAATCAATCGCTTTGAACATAAACTATCATACATAATTATCAACAAAAATATACAATGTATAAGTTTTGAAGGTCGCCTGTCAATCATTGTCTCAAAATTTCTTTCAAAGCAAGAATATATTTTTATAAGACACTTTTCTATTTCCCGGCTGGAATAGGGGGCACATTTAATACAGCACTTGCATTTAATGCTTCATGTCAAAATATATTCCAAAATATATTCTAGAGTTGAACATGTACCGGTACACGAAATAATGTAGGCCATGTGGTTTTTTTTAATAAATGAAGAATAAAATCGTCATCCCCCTTTTTTATTTTCCCGGCCTCAGAGAGAGATTTACGACTGGTTCTCTAAATATATTTTTTAAAAGCAAAATGATTTTTAAAAAACCTAGCCCGTTAAAGTTTGCACTCTAAGTTAATTCTTTTGTAGATTCCAGGGAAATTTAATACGAATTATGCTCGGTTTTTCTTATTTTTAAATGAATATGATCAGGATTAACAACATCCCTCAAATAATAGCGTTTAAATATATTCCAAAATATATTCTAGAGTAAAACATTTTCACAAAATAATGTAGGCCATGCGTTTTATTTTTTAAATACACGAAGAATTAATCGTCATCCCTTTATATTTGTTCGGCCTCAGATAGAGAGAGACATCAAATAAATAGGGGTTATTTTAATACGATTTAGTATGTCTTGTTCTCTCGATTTGTTTTTAAAGTAAAACAATTTCAAACACCCTAGCCCATTAAGTTTTGAACTCTCCGTTAAGTTTGTAGATTCCAGGGGAAATTTTAATACGAATTCTGCTTAGTTTTTCCTAATTTTAAAAGGAATACGAATAAGATTATCAACAGCCCTTTGACTTCAAACTTAATTTTTAAGTGTATTCCGAAATAATTATATTCAAGAGTAACATTTACAAAAAAAATGTAGGCCATGCAGTTTTATTTTTTAAATAAGCGAAGAATAAAATCGTACTACGAAATAAAGACATCGGGAGCCCTACATTAAAGGAATTATTTGAACTTGAAATATTATCCCCCAATCGTTTATCTATGTGCATGTACACAACACGGAGGTGAAATTTCACGTTCAATTCAGTTTCCCACATTTTTCGCAAAAAGTTTTCCCCTGTCTCTGAGAAAAAAAATGCCCAAATAAAATCTCAGCTCCGAAAAGCCTTTCCAGAGAATGATTGATAGCCGCATTGTTCAAATTGATACAATGCCACTCTTGTTCGTTACAAAGCATATACATTTGGGTTTTGAGAACTTGCCGCCAGTAATTGGAAGATTCTTAGATGATAAACAGTGATGATAGTATCTCAGCCAATAAAATCAGCCGGTTCCCGGCAAATAAATATGCCATTGGTTGCTTTCATCACGGACCGTCTGCTTTCATGAATATGACTTCCTTCCACGCGCAACTGGAGTGATTAGCTATCTGAGCCACAGGTGCATGGCTGCATGCCCGTCACATTCCAACCTGGTTGCTTAGAAATACTGTTGCTAGGAGGCTCCCCTGTGACGCCTGGGACTGCCGGTTGCGTAGCCAGAAATCTTGTATGTGACTATTTTGAAACCTTGTATGTGAAAGCGGCAGCTCAGGAATGCTGCCGCTTTCGGGAAATTTGTGCAGGCAAAGTTTTTCATATTTTGGAAATTGGAATTTGGATGCAGTTTGCATTTCCGTTAAATAAAAGGTTTTTTTTTTTTTCTTTTTAAGAAAATCGGAGCCCCCCCCCCCCCAAATACAAATAAACGATTTTCCTCAGGCCTTGACATTTCTTGAAGTGATTCGACAACACTTGCAGAATGCAGACGATTCATTTCGTCTTAAATTATTTTATAGCCTGCAGACTTCAAAAGAACATGGAAAAAATGGTGGTTAAACTTAAAGTGTATACAAGTGTATATACAAAGTAAGTGACCGCAGTTACCACACATTATAATGGGACACAGGCGGCAGTCTTTTTTAAGTCTTGACTAAACGTGTAAACGCTACAGGAAAATTTTGCTAATATCATCAATTTTTTATGACAGGAGAGGGGCAAAACGAAAAGGATATTATTAATAATAATAATAATAATCGGCATTTAAGAACGCTCTTATTAGGTAACTAAATCACAGCGCTTATAATGAACAATTAAATAAAATAAATGAATTAAGTTAAATAATAAAAACAGGTAGCATACACAATGAATTGATTATTGGTGGAATAAATTGATCTTGATCAGCTTCTTGAATTGCTCGAGAGATTTGGCATTTTGAATGGAAAAGGGCAGACTATTCCTATTAATGATGATGGAAGTAAAAAAAAAATGAAACGACAATAACATCAACCAAAATGGGGTGGGGGGGGGGTAGGGGCTGCTTGGGGCAGGCTGTCCCCTAATAAAATTCAATTTATTTTATTTTCTTTGTTTGCAAGGCAAATTTCTGGGTAGAAATGTATGTTTTAATAGTAAACATGACTTTTTTTGGCTCGCTCGCTCCGCTCGCTCGCAAAATAACAGATGTTCATTTGTTTTCAACCGGGGGCTGTCATCAGCACCTTCTAATTTTGGGGTTCATTTTCAACTAGCATCAACAGTTACTTTAAATTCTATATTTGATAGAAAAAAAATAAGTGTTATTAAAATTAAAAAATAAACATTGTGAATTTTGCTCTTAATGGCTTAAAATACTCATGATGTAGGAGAGAACATCTAAAATCGTAGAGCTTCCAGTGCCCTCAACAACCCCGCCCGCAAGGGATTTCGCGCTTCAGTCTCGTAATGTGTGCAACGCGCACAAAGTTTTTGTGCCCCCCCCCCCCCTTTTTGAAAATCCTGGATCCGCCCCTGAGGGGTATCGTGGGTGAGCATATGGAGGAAAAATTAATGGGCAACACCTGCACTCTGAAAAATACCTGTCAGAGACTCACAGACATCCAGTCATTTTAAATTTGACAAGGAGCCTTCGAATATTTCTTACTTTCTTTTTTCTTTTTACGTAACATGAATGTCTCGTGAATGAAATTGAATGATGGGATAGAATTCCTTTCCCGAGAAATTATTTCCCTGGTACGAAGTACGATTTCAAATTCTTGTTGCGTTCAGATTGTGTACCAGCGAAGCTCAATTATTGCTATGTACAGGCGCTATGCATGACAGCGCAGCGCAGTGCAGTGCTAGTGTACACATCATGGCGTCGTTACTAACGAAAACAGTCTGCTTTTGCAGTGGACGTGCGGCATGAGAATCAGCCTTTGTACAGCGACTGGAAATCATGTTTGTTGTAACAGCGGACGTAACAGCTAGTAGTAGTAGCCAGTGATACATAGAAGTGCCAGAAACGTTCACTATGGGCGACTTTGTAAAGGCAACCCAGGACACTCTGGGAAAGTTAATTAAAAAGCCACCACTCACCGAGAAATTACTGAGGAAACCGCCGTTCAGATTTATACATGATATAATCACAGAGGTGAAGAAGAAATATTTCTTTTTGTAGGCCTACTCGTACTCGTAGCATTATTAAAAACGCAGTGGCTATTGTTACGGCAGCCGTAACGCATTTCCCATTTTCTATCGTTACGGTAGACTGCAACTTTTATAAAAACATGACAAGAACAAAATTAGAAGGAAAGTGTGAATTTGAACGTTATGAAATTCGGACTTTATTTCCCTTTTAAAAAAATCCTCCAAAGCCTCAGTTTCGAAAAGGAAAAAAATTCGAGTGCAAAACTGAGATTCAAACCCGCAACCTCGCGGTGCAAAATCCTACCCTCTATCGACTGAGCTGTCGCACTGATCAGTCAGTGGAAAAAATAATTATATACCTGCGTAGTGCGTGTGTATCAAAAAAGTATCGTAGAGGGCGCTAAACAACGACTGCCGTAACGATAGCCACTTCGTATTAAAAAACACGCAGTGTAATTGATGAACTAAAAAAGTAGGCCTTATCTGTTTTAAATTTTGTATTTCACTGTTATTTTGTCTTTGTTTCAGGTTATCAGAACAACAGGCTTTATGAAAGGACTTTACTCGGCAACAGAAATGGATTCGCAAAATGTGAAGGTAGGCCTAGGCCTAGCATGCCTAGGCTAGCTAGGCCTAACGTTATACCATACCAACATTTTTAAACGGGGTCCACTCATAAGTCTGACGCCTCATAAGTCCAACTAGTCCGAAAATTTGGGACTCTCAATACTGTGTCTGAGAGTCCCAAAACTCAAAGTATTGAAAACATGCAAAACAAGAAAATAGTCTGGCACATAAAACAACCAGTCCAACTCAGGCAACAGGCAACACAGCTTCAGTACTGCATCAGTCAACCATGCCGAAAGAATTTAAGAAACATGTGGCATGAAGCGGGAACTAGTCTCAATTGAATTCACATTTCTCCATAGTCAAGCCACCAGACTATTGATGTCGAGCGCAATTTGAGTCCCCCGTGCAAGTTTAAACTTGTGCAAGGGACTCCGAAGCACGCAAATTACACCGCGCTATTTTAATTTGTGTGCGCACGTTTACAACTTGCGCAAAGGCGATCGCAATTTGAGAACCTTGCGGGCGGGATTTTCATTGATGAAGAAAAATAAATGTTCGAAACACAAGTACATGGAGAAATAAATTAATAAATAATGGACTAAATTAATGAACAAAGAAATAAATAAAAGTGGAATTCAATTAGCGTCAATGAAAAGAAACATTGAGATTTAGCAGTGCTTATCAGAGAATTTTTTTAGGGGGCAGGAAGGGGACCAGGCAAGCAATCAATAAGCACAGTGATTGCTTGGAGAGATTACTGAAGTTGTTTGAAAATGGAGACAAGCTTCAAGGTTTTTGCCTTGCATATGTAAAACTAATTAGCATTTTATTTATATTCTTAAATGTAAATAAATCGTAATTTCCTAGGGGTAACCCGTTGTTAACGTAAAAGAATGATTATCACCCCTTCAATTGTTCAAGATTTTTGACGTTATAGTAATCATTTACATTATTTTATAAATGCTTTAAATTATATTACATGTACTGTACAATTAAAAAAGTACTTATTCTTAATTTTTTTTTCTTAATTTAGCAATTGATTAATTGGACAGTACTATATTTCATTTTGTTTTTTAAAATACTTTGCATAACATTTCAAGCGTTGTGTACACTTCAAAAATGCATAATTTGAAAAAAAATTAATAAACTCATTACTAATTTATTTTATTACTTTAAACAATTATTTTACTTGCAGGCTCAATAATTCATATTAATGTTTACGTGCTTTAACTTAAAAACGCTATGCACTATAGAATGGTAATTATTTCAAAAAGTAAATAAAATTATTAATGATTTAATAAATTAATTTAATTTATTAATTTAATTAATTAATTTGAAATAATGAATAAATATGTTGTTTATTTAACAAAAATCATAATAAGCCATAACAATAATACACATCATGAAAGTGCATAAATTGTTCGCATTACCACCCCTTATCTCTGAACCCACACAGTCAACCTCATTAGCATAATACTGTAAATAAAATGTTTCAAAAAAGGCATTAAGGCATTGTCTCACGAAGCACAGTGGTGCTATTAATTGGAGGAAAATCTGCTTTTAAAAATAATGTTGCATATCTGCATGAGTTTACCAGGAATAAAATTAGTTTGGCGGCTTTACATGCATGGGAAAAATCTATGTAGCGCGCAAGTTTAAACTTGCGTACGCAATTTGTAGCAAGGAAATTAATGCAAGCGCAAGTTTAAACTTGCGTGCGCGCAGGTTTAAACTTGCGCGCGCAAGTTTAAACTTGTGTGCGCAAGTTTAAACTTGCGCGGAGGACTCAAATTGCACTCGACATTGACACTGAATGAAGAGGTCAGTCTTTTCAAATAGTTGGACCATGGTTGGACACATGTACCAGTCTAGTATTTAGCCCCATTTTGAAATCAGTTGACTTCCCTCTCATGTGTAAAATATTGAAGAAATGTCTCCTTTAAAAATTGAATTTGGTCTGCAAACTTGGTTGGTAAAATACCGAGGACATTTTCTTTGCCCCAGTGGAATTTATGGAGAAATGTGCTGGCTAAACTGTGAGTAAAGTGGGCCTGATTTAGTTTTGCACGTTTCAGAGCACTCCAGAGCCCTGTCGGAAGTCCAATGCCTCATAATTCCAATGCCTCATAACTCCGACGCCTCGTAGGTCTGACAAATTAAACGCCTTGTTTTTCCGACGTCGGACTTTAATATGAGGCATTGGACTTATGACGCCTCATAGGTCCGACGCCTCATAATTCCAACGCCTCATAGCTGTGACGCCTCGTAGGTCTGACAAATTAAACGCCTTGTTTTTCTGACGTCGGACTTCAATATGAGGCATCGGACTTATGACGCCTCATAGGTCCGACGCCTCATAGCTGTGATGCCTCGTAGGTCCGACAAATTAAACGCCTTGTTTTTCCGACGTCAGACTTTAATATGAGGCGTCGGACTTATGAGGCATTTTTTTTAATTCCCCTTTTTATTTATTTATTTCTTTATTAATTTATTCCATTATTTATTAATTTATTTCTCCATGTACTCGTGTTTTTTTTCTTCATTAATAAAAATCCCGCCAGCAAGGTTCTCAAATTGCGATCGCCATTGCGCAAGTTGTAACGTGTGCATGCATGCAAATTAAATTGGCACGGTGTAATTTGCGTGCTTCTGGAGTCCCTCACGCAAGTTTAAACTTGCGTGCGCAAGTTTAACGGGGGACTCAAACTGTGCTCGACAGGCATGACATCTCTGAATTATTGGAAAAAATGTTGCGACCCGACGCTACTTTAAAAAAAAAAAAAAAGACATTTTTGGGGGGTTTACCTTGTACCTAAGAGAGTATACTTTCATGTAAGAAATGTAAGGAATATGTTGACAAAGTCTTTAATTTAAGAGAGATTTGTAAGCGAACGTGTGCCAACTTAGTGAATTTTAACATGTCACTGCATGTTGACGCCTTCAACCGACGCGTGATAAATGAAGGTTGAAACATGCGGTAACCTGTAAAAAATCACTTAGTTGGCCACATTTGCCTACAAATCTCTCTTAAAAACTTTGTCAACATATTCCTAACAGTTCTCACATGAAAGTATACTCTCTGAGGTACAAGGTAAGCCAAAAAAAATGTCTTTTTCTGTTTCGAAAGTAGCGTCAGGATGCAACATTCTTTCCGAATTGTTTTGTATTTTTTGAAAAAATGTTGCAACCTGAAACCACTTTTTTCTTCATATTATCTCAATGAAGGTCATTCAATGCAAAAAATATGAGAAGACATGAATCTGGGACTGAGAAACATTTTTTCAATCTTGTTAGGAAATACTTAGAAAATTGTCTTGACTCTCGATAGACTTTTTACACAATCGCGGAAGTGGCACGAGGTTGCAACATTTTCTCCTTTTTTTTCATTTCTATAAATTTATAGGCCTACATCAGCCTTATGTCTGTGGCCGTACACCATCACAATAAATGTGCACTGTACAGGTCGTGAACTTGTGTTGTTGGCCACGCGGCGCAGCCGGCCATACAAACACAAGGTCATGAACTGTACAATGCATATTTATGACCTTGCCCAGGAGCGCCTGCATAAATGCATACATAAACAACGCGCAAACAGTTAGCTATTTTGAAATCCCATGGAGGAACATTTTTGAGACGATATTTGTGGGAACTTTAAGAAAATCAAAGCCATTAAAGATGATTTTAGCAATTATGGTTAAATCATGTTAATTTCATGTACTTGAATTTCATGTTCATTAATTCATGTTTGATAGTGTTGAAGGGTTTACTTATGATGAATATTTTAAAATATTGAAGAATAACAAAACCAGCCCTGGAACTTGGAGGTAGATCAAACAGGGTTCCTTATCCCTTTGTGACTTTAATTACAGTTTTAATCTGTTATTTTATTGTTCTTTACACTGTCAATACAGGACAAGGAGAATAAAATAGCATTTTTACAGAAGACAATTGATGTTGTTGGTGAGTACACAGATTTATAGATCATGTTAAATGGTTTGGTAAAGTAAAAAAATAAACAAGTTTCTTGTCCCCGCCCACTTCCTTTTTCCGGCCCGCTTCTTATTTTGTTATTTTACTTTTTTATTAAGTGTTTTGTTTTTTTGGCAAAGACTTTAAAGTAAAGTGTACAATGGGGGGCAATTGGGGGGCAAGGAAATATTTTTTGAGGGGGAGCTGTCAAAAAAAAACTTAAGCCTGTGTACGTGGGCGCGTGCCCATTGTCAGTGGCCCAGAAATAAGCCACTAGAGCAACTTAGAAGTGTAGTCATTTTTTATGAATGAGAAATGTATCAAACCATAGAATGGGGTATAACAAATGTATAACAATGTACAAAGAAGTTGGCTGCACACTATCTACGGCTGTATAAATGCATGTATGGCGTGTTTTGTCTAAGGTACTGATGTTTATAATGCTTTCATTGGCCCAAAATGTGTCCACATTTTATGAATCTTAACAGCAAAGAAAATAAACATACTCTTTTGTTGATAAAGTGTTGGGGCAAACTGGGGGGGGGGGGGTTAAGGAAAAATCCCCCCCCCCCACCCCGGTAGCGCCTCCACTGAAAGTGTCTAACTTTAATTAAAATTGAGATAATCTTAATTATTCACTGGCTGTGCCTCTGTGCTGAATAAAACTCACTGTTTCGAAGTATTCTGGATAAACATAAACTATTTAAGCTAGTTTCATGGAACAGCTTCACTGAAATACATTAGGGGGGAAAAAAGGTAAACAATAAATTTCTCAGGCAATTTCTCAGCCCGGTATAGCTCATTACATAAATTATGTAGAAGCACCCTGAAAACGACCCTGGGACTTGAGCAAGCTACATATGTGCCATCATGCTCCTAAGAGAGAAGGAGCTTCCTTGACCACTATTTTGTTTAATCTAAATATTTTATTATCCACAGCTCTTGTACATAAGAAGCCTTTGTCAGTAAAACCATCTAAGATTGTAGCTGGTCACGAGCCAGAAAGAACCAATGAACTACTGCAGCAGATAGCAAGTGCAATATCAAATAAGGTAAATACTTTAAGTCTTTGGCAAGAGGAGGTATGGCTATACTGTATGGAGCATAGGCAATGTACATGTTGTTTTCATTCAAATAATTATAGCAGTGTTCTCAGGTCCTTCGACATGTTTAATTAGTCTGACAAGACTATTGAAATGTACAATTTCATGTGCATGTCCTACATTGTGGTGTAGAGTTACACTGTGGTACTGATCCTGAGAAACTAGACAGGGTGGTCTGAGCACCTAGGCTTTTGATTATGCATTGAAATCAGAGCCATTTGCCAAATAAAAAGTATGGTGAAAATGTAGACTTAAACGTCAGAGCAAGATATGCAGCACATGCAATTGTAAGTTTCTTGCATGTGTACTTGTACCTGCGATAAGCTGTGTATCAAACGCTCACATTCTCACCCATTCAAAGTATTGTTCTTTCTTGCTTACTTTCTTGCTTACTTATCTCCATGTATTTTTTTAATAATATTACTTTAATAATATTTCTTATTAATTAATTTTGTGTTACATTGTCTTGTTTTTCTTTTTGGCATTATGGAAATAAATGTTGATTGATTGATTGATTGATTGATTGATTGATTGATTGACTGAGGCACCTGACATTTCAGTAAATTAGATTGTTACCAAAGAAGCAACTGAATAACTTTTTTTGTTTACTGTATTAGTTGGATAGCTCAGATGCAGTTGCTCAGGTGCTAGGAGGCACGAGGAATGAATCTGAATCCAGTAAACCCCCAAGACCAGCAAAGGAAGATGAGAAAATAAGAGACTCCAGTGCCGACAAGAAGAGAAGGGACAAAGAGAACAGAGTAAGCAAGTTTGCCTTTACCAGCAGCATCAGATGTGATTTTAGAGTGGGAAACAATCTTGATAATATGTTTTAAAAATCATGTCATGCTTCCCCTTTTATTATTATTATTATTATTATTTATTCGGCATTAAAAACACAAACAACAAACATTCACATATAGAGAAAACCAAAAACCAAGAAAACAAAAACGAACATGACGAAAGCCAGGGGCATATGCCCGGAATTAAAAAAATTTACCTAAAAACTGTGGCCCTATTTCAGTTTGTTTGGAACATTCCAGGCAGACTTTTTAGTGTGTATGGGCTCTGTGCGCCAACAAAAGAGGGCGCGCTTTTACCACTTCTGAGAGCCCCTTGAGTGTGCGCACTGTAATTTGCCTGCGAAGTATGTTCAACTGACGCGTGAGCGTCAGGCGTCGTTGGCGCGCGAATACGTTCGAATATGTTCAAATTTAACTTGGGATGGTCTCCCAGACTCATCCCCAACCCCAATAACTTTGGGTCATTCGAAATACGCAGTGGATGAATCAGGAACCAGTCTAGGTCACCCTCAACTCTCCTTTTCTGGCCGTTGATGGGGTACTTGTACACGGAGCCCATGTGCATGATATGTTTAATTGTGGTATTGACTCATTGGATAGTTTTCAAAGTTGTTTGCGTGAGTTTGTTTCTGCATTCAATAGGGGACGTTGAACAATACAGGACAATAGGGTCCCCTATTCCTGAAGGTCCCCAATTCCTGAAGGTCCCCAATTTGGCAATGTGTACAAAACATATGGGAGGTCTTCCTAAAAAGTACAAACAAAAGAGGGAAAATAGGGGGTCCCCGATTGCGGGCAAATACACACTTGTGTATGTGTGTGTGTGGGTGAGGGGGGGGGGGGGTACTGTTAACTGTTAACTAATGACTTACAGAAAGCAGTGAAAACAGCAAATAGCAGACAACAGTGACCATTTTGAAAACAGCATGAGTCACATCCAAAATCAGCAAAATTATTTGCTTTAAATCATTTTAAACTGTAACTCAAACAAGCAGGAAAAGAAAAGCAGCTCAGACAATCGAGACAGAAGTTCCAGTCGGGACCGAGAAAAGGGCCGAGACAAAGAGCAGAAAGAACGAGACCGAAGCAAAGACCGAGACCGCCACCGAGACAGGAGCAAAGACAAAGAAAGGGACAAGGATCGAGAACGAGATCGTAGCAAGGACAAAGAGAGGAAAGGACGAGATAAGGAGAAAGAGAAAGAACGAGATAAGGAACGGGACCGGGAAAAAGAAAGAGAGAAAGATCGAGACAGGGAGAGAAGCAAGGATAAGGATCGAGACAGAGACAAAGAAAGAGATCGGGAACGAAGGGAAAGAAGGGTGAGTAATCGTATAATGGGGCTGCTTTGGTTCTGTTGTACCAAGGCTTGAATTGAAGGGGCCGTATCATAAGTCCGGCGCCTCATAGGTCCGACACCTCCTAAGTCTGACATTTCGGACTTATGAGGCGTCGGACTTATGAGGCATAAAATTTATTTTGTCTGCCTCTCAAGTCCAACGCCTCATAAGTCCGACGTCGGAAAAACGAAGTGTACGAGGCGTCGGACCTATGAGGCGTCGGACTAATGGGCCTTTATTTGGTTGGGGGATGCAATTTTGTCAGACTTATGAGGCATCGGACCTATGAGCGGACCCTGAATTGAAATGCTTGGTAACCTCCTCCTCTTCCCAAAAACTCCCATCCTACCAAATCATTTGATTTAATCAGTAAAGACTTATCTGGGAAGCTGCTTTGTACAATAGCGAACTCAATGGTTTCTTTCTTGAAGGGGGCCTCAGGAGTGGACATTGATCACATGCCCAAATTCATTGATTGCATTTTCTATGACCAAATTTATTGGTCTTTTTTCATCGTTCTGATCATTCAAAGGTTTTGGTGATTGCATTCGTTCACCCCCCCCCCCCCCCCCCCCGCCTCATAGTGGAGATGTGAATTCAAAATTGAAAAAAAAAAATAAAAAAATTGAAATTAGGATCTTTGTTAGATAGCTAATATGGCAAGAAGAATGATTACTTTGGCTTGAAATTTTGTTGTGAAATAATTTGCAGCCAACAAATATGACAGTCCGTAGACACATTTCAAGTTAACATACAAGCTGAGGCTCTAGTGTTAAGCTAAAATTGTAGAACATTGGGTATCTTTTCCTTCTTATCCCATCCACAAAGGGAAGAACAAAGGCCCTCATTTGGATCCCTTTTTGAAATTTGTCTTTTGTCTTATCAACTTATCAAACGCCACCAACTTTTTTGTTTGTACCAGAAGCGTAAAGAAGAAGAAGAAACTACCCGTCATCAGCGACAGAATGGTCATCAGGAAGATGAAGAGGTATGAATTGTTGCTGTATGATTGTTATTGGATAGTCAAAAAATGTGAATATTCCATCGTCATGAACAATAGAGGGTGACATGTTGCCTACCAATGATGGCAATAGTGGTACTTCCATTTGAATGACGTGTAAAACGGTTTTGCTTTGGAACAACAGTGAGGTACTCTAGACTGGTTCCTAGTCCCTCCTTCACTTAGGAGAACATAACATCATTTGTAACCCTGATGCTGTTTACAAATCTCAAGGGGTATGCAGGAACGGGCAAGCAATATTTTATTTTCCCAATTACATCAAAGCCAAAAATGGCCATTTTTATGTTGGAGTGGGACAAGAAGTTTTTCCCGTCTTTAAATTTCCATTAACCTCTACAACATATTAAAGTTCTTCATAATTTTTCATTTAGTGCTATTTTTCATAGTTGGTAACGTTCTTATTTCAATTTTGTGAACAATTTCCAATCATGAAGTAACGTGTGAAGAAAAATGAAATGTTTAGCCCCTCTATTTGTTCTCATTGTAGGCATTGGCAATATTGTTATCTGTTAGACACACTCAGCTCTTGTCATTGGCGGATCGGGGGAGGGGGGCACCATCCACAGGGGCCATCCCCCAACATTTTTTTTTTATCGGAGGAGGAAATACACATTTTTGTCTTAAATCTTGAAATAACTTGTTAGTTTAATTCCCCCAATAACTTGAGAGTAAAGATATTCTGCCTGGGATGAATTGAACTATTCCTGTATTACCAACAAACCTGTCATGTTTTGTTTCATTTCTCCTTCCCAATTTCTTTGTGAATCGAATAGAGTGATGACACGGTCGAGGTATGCAGCATTTCACAGTATTATATGCTGTGTGTGTCATGCTAATAAAAAGGAAAAAAAATAGCACAGTGAATGTTGGCAAGCTCACACATGCAGGCATCATGAGATAAATTGAAATGACCATTTTTTTGCCCTGCCCCTAAGGACGACTTTTACACAAATTGCATGTTCGGGTCAAAACAGGACCTGAAGAACAGCTCTCAAAAAGTACCTTTTGTACTAATTTCATGACAGAGACAATAGTCATTTTTATTTCATCACACCTTAGGCTACATATACCCGAAAAATGATGGAAATGTCTTCGAGCATTCCACAACCTCTTTAAAAGTTACTGTCTGCAGACCCATCCAAATGAAAATGCATGCCTTTATGTTGGCTTGCAAAGCCATGTTTGTTACATGTTATGGATATGACTACATGACACACAGTGTTTCGAAAGGAATAAAAAGACAAAGCAGTAACATGCCAAAGCGGTAAAAGAAACTATGACCCATTTGATCTTTTCAACTTATCTTTGATTGAACAATGGCCTGGGTCCAATTCCATGAAGCTGCTAAGCTGAAATACAAATTCATGTACATGTACTCCACAGAAATCAACTTTGAATCAGTTACTTTCACCATGCTTTCACAAGCATTCTATGCATTTTGGCTGGTAAACCTTTAACTTAGCAATTTGCTTGGCAATTCCCCCCCCCCCCTTCCCCATCCGTCCATAGTACAAGGCATGATGTAACCATATTGGGAACCTGATTCAAGCATATTTGAACAAATTTAACAATTTATACTTAACTAATGGATCCGTTTCTTATACCCGCTTAATATTTTAATCTTTGCAATCTTTTATGCTACATGAATAGACTAACCACATAAAGCCATGAGGCTTTCATATTTACTTGAGTATTAAGCATACACTACTAAATTTCAGTCAGTGCCATGTGTGTAAGCACAGAAAATTAACATCACAAGAGATGATGCCAAGTTGAGTCAAAGTTGTAGTAACATCAAAGCATCTTAAAATAACAAAATAATTGTATCATAAGTAGATCAGTTCATTAATTAACCCTTACTCTCTGAGGGTAGTTTACTGCATGTCAGTTGGTTATGCCAATGCCCTCCAGCTGCAGTTATTTGGCAGATAACAAGTCTTAACAGTGAAGGCTCCAATTGGCAGGAGTTGGAGGCCCTGGAGGGTGCCTGATACTGACCAGCTGGGGGCACTTGATTGTTATCAGAGGACTCTCATTGTTCTCTGTGGCATGTATTGGAGTGCCTGTCCAGTTACCCTTGAAATGACATGGCAGATATTGGAGGGCCATGCAAAAAACATAGGAGATTTTCTTGAGGCACAATTGGCATGCGTTGGAGGGTCAAGTAGGGTAAGGGTTAACAACTAAGAACAGTTTTAATGAAATATTCAACTTTCCAAAAACACCCAGTTCAAAAAATACACAGTACAGGTACATGAATGTATTCCCCACCATATGATGTCAATACCAAATTGGGGGTTTTTTTTAACAAAAATACCACCAGCTTACATGTAACATTGAGTATAGGTTTCTCAAGGAAACATTGGAACACTTCCTATGGAGTCCAGAAGTGAGAAGTCATTTAGAACCAGTGCAAATTAAAGGAGTGCGCGCGCGTGCTGGTTCATGGGCTGAATCACGTGCTAATGTCTTTCACACACATTTTGTGCACGTGACGTATTCACTTTGGTACTCCATTGTGCACAGGATGGTCATTTCATCAGAGTCAAGCCTACTTTCGTTATAATTGGCTCTGCAAAGTCCTTGACAACTGCATTCAGATTTATTGCAAACACTGACAGAGTTGCACAGTATGACCCCAGCATTTCTTAACCACCTCTTGATTGCAGTACTGCACCATGTTTGATTAATGTGTATGCTAAATCCAACCGATAATCCCAACTGTTAAAAATTGGTCATAAATTCTGCCTGGTGTGTTTCATTACTCAGTTGATTCCATGGTTGGTGCAGTATGACATGTGATGCATGTCTGTTAACCATGTTTTAGGAATTCTTTCCCTCTATGGAATCTGTGCCGGAGGTACTGATGTGATGGCACATCGTTGTACACTCATGAAAGCAAATCACATCGTAGGACACCAATTCGCTCTTTTCACACTTCCGCCATGGGTATGCAGATACCATGCATATACACAATGAATATGGCCGGTTCAGTGATTCCCGTGTCGGGTTTCAGATCACTGAACCGGCTATTTTTATTGTGAAAAGTTGCCATATCGAGGCTCTGCATGCCCATTGGCGGAGTGTGAAAAGAGCGAATTGTACACGTGCACTGGTTCACTTTACTTCACTAGTGTACTTTTGCACACAAGCATGGACAAGTAATTTTCATCTGAACAGACAAAAAACATTGTCTTTACATGATTAAACACATCATGTGGTGGATGGACATGCTGTGCAGCATTGGCTTTCTTGTGGTAGTTAAAAACAGCAATGTTTTGTATTTATTTCTACTATTAGTGGTGTTGCCATTCACGAGTCCATACCTACAACACACAGTTTAGTGATTACAGGGCTGGAACTGGCAGGGCTGGGTAAACTTAATTCTTAGTTGTTAATTCTTAGTTGTGAAAATACATGTACAATTAAGGACGTGTCCTTCATTGTATGTTCTTGCAAAGGTCTCCAGATGTTTAAAATATCCCTGCATATCATTCATATTAATGAGAGAATACATGCATTTTTCTGTGTGATATGAACTTTGAAGTTCTCCTGAAAGTGATGAGTTGCAGTCCACCATTCCCTGCACATCGACCCCCTCCTCTGTTTCGTAAATACATGTATGTTAACAGCACTAGCTAAATTAAGCATTGTTCTGGTTTGAATTCCATGGGTGGCCAGGCCCCCCCCCCCCCCCCAGTGGTGTGTGTGGCATAAGTCATTCACAATTCAACTTGAAATGTGAGTGACATTGAATTGAATTCACCTTTTTTCTTTTCTTTTTTTCAGGATGCTAAGCCAGCACCTTTTGAGGTATAAACATTAATATAATTTCAAACGAATGACCTCAGTCACCTCACCATACATGACATTTCATCAATAGATCTCTCTCAAATGACGTCACTTCCTACAGATTGCCACGTGCTTCGGCATATTGAGCGTCAATTTTTCGTGACGCGCATCAGCTGCTCCATATTTCAAAGAAATGCGCGTACGTACCTGATGGCGTTGGATATGCAGTTGTAATTCCCCTACGAAGATGGCGTCTTGTGAGAGAGATCTATAAATGCATTCTGTAGATGACTTTCTCTGATGCATAAAGTCAGGCTTCATAGAAAAACCTAGCAGAATGTTTTCTATTCAGGTGTATATGTATGTAGCTACTTTGCATGTTGTGTGTGGAATCAAAGTGAGATGTTAACAAAAAGTTTCCTGCAGATATTTAAGGCCCTACTTTCAGGCTTTCATGCTGCATCAGGAAAAAAACTGGGTCCAAATTGAACGTGATCTCAGTTTTCCAGTGAGTTCAAAGATTTAGCATTGATATAAAATGGAACATTCTACTACAGTTTTTCAAACCTTCAAGGCTTTGAATCTCATTTCATCATCATCATCTTAAAACAGATCATTACACCATCTTGTGATGTTTCCATGATTGATAGTAAAATATCCCACACCATTATTATGTTCATCACCGTGACCAGCATCACCATAGTAATCGTCAGTGATCAGAAGGCATCAGTTTGCTGTCATATATCACCATCACCAATTTTGTCTCTGTCACCATCAGAACAATCAAAACATCAGCATGAGCATAATTGGTTTTCAGGAGGACCAATCCACAATAGACATTTTGCATTCAGCAGCCATCTTTGAGGCATTTATTGATACTTTTTTCAGAAACAGTCAATGCACATTAGGTTTACTTCTGTGTGAACAAAGCCCACACCTGGAAGATGGCTGGAATGCAATTGATACTGTGCATCACAAAGTGTTTCCCTTGAATTTTTTTTCAGTGTTACACTCAACTTCCTGGACTTGCAGATAATCACCCCACCTTTATCACATGCACATGCAGTCATTGTTTTGTGGTGTTTTAAACCTTATCTTAAAATGTATACCTAGGTTTTGCAAGATTTGGATAGTTTGAAGTTTTCGTGATTTTCAAGAAGACTTTATGTCCTGAAGTAGCAGTCGGTTGTCCACGGAATGGCCTTGCTTTACTGTATCCACTTACAGTTGTTGGTTCTGTTGTTCCAAAAAAAATTGTTTGCCGTGACTACATGTTATGCTACGGTCTTTGTGCAAACAAAAGAGGGCACGTTTTTTACCACTTTTGAGAGCCCCTTGGACGGGACACGGCTTGTGTGCACTGTACTGGTTCGCATGCGAAGTACACTCAACATTTGTATCCTGAAGGTGGGCAATGCTAAGCCATAGCATCTTTGTGCGTGAGTATCAGGCGTAGTCGGTGTGCAAATACGTTCAAATTCAACTTGTGATGGTCTCCCAGACTAATCACCGCCCCCAATAAATTCATTCAAAATACTTAGTGCATGGACCAGGAACCAGTCTAGGTCTCCCTCAACTCTCCTTTTCTGGCCGTTGAAGGGGTACTTGTGCACAGAGCCCATAACCAGCAACAATGCTTCTCTGCTCGGATAGTGGGTTACTGTTTTGTTTAATCACTGTGCTCCCCTGGGGATCAAGTCATTAAAAGCCTGAGAAAAAAATGCCCATTCCAAAAAGTCTGGATTGTTTAAGGTAACTACCTTTAGCAACGAGTAAGGATATATTTCGCAGCATAGAGGTATTTCATAAAAAAAAAAGTATCTACATGTATTAAGATTGTCATACTGCTCATTCCCTTCTCCTCAGTTCTGATAATTTACTGAGTGCAATTTAATTTTCCCTCATAGTCTGAAGATGGAGCATCAACAAATCGTATCCCACGTCCAACGTCGGCTAAGGGGCAGCGTCGTCGACCTTTGCAAGGCAGTGATGGTAAGACATCACATGGCTTTTGTTGCATGTTTTTCACTCAGTTGCACGATTCCACTTGCATTTAAATGTGTGACCTGAAATTGTTCTGAAAATTTTATATCACACAATCAGAAATCTTACTAAGCCTGTCACTTAACCCACAAAAAACCACTGTCACCTTCTTCTAAACAATTTGTGTTACCTAATATTCCCTGGCAGGCAACTCTCAGGAGCTCAAATAGTTTGTAGCCCACCAATTGTGCTCTTGCACATTGATGATCAGAACAACAGAAATGTTTTTGTGGTTTTATTGGTTTGGCCATGTAATACTCTTAAAAGTGAGATTACAAGGAGCTGGAAGATTTATGCTTTGGCTTGGTTTGCTTGTAAAGTTAGGGAATTTTTGCAATTGGTTTTTTGGGGGGTAATTTTTTTTGATGAAGTATTTTGTCTAATTTGATGAACGTTTGTTTATGTGACTTTTTCTGTTTTGATCGAGTTCAAGAAAATGTTATTAACATTGATTAATCTTCACGTATAACTGTATACAAGTATGTGAGTTGCTCCACTTGGCCAGCCCCGCAAGACTAACACACTGATTCCACTGCTTTTTACCCACAATGCTTTGTTAACTGCAGACTCTGAAGGTGAGGAAGGTACGTTGCCGTGGTTTCATTGCACTGTTGAGCTTCATTTGTTCATTAGACAAGAGACTCGCTCAATATTTTAGTTGATGTAGAATGTCTTTCAGTTTCATCTTTCCATTTCTTTTGGACAATGCAAAAGTACCCTTTCAGTAGTGACAGAGATAGTTAGACAGGCCCATGGCTGATGTACTCCAGTCTCAAGTGCAAAGACTCTGGAAGTTTGTGCATATTCAAATGAAAAATAGTCGTGAATACTTTGTACCAAATGTGCCAGAACCATCATGTGCACGTACTGTGTCTTGTACAAAGAGCTCTCATAAGTTGTCACCAAGCCTCGTCTTTTGTTTGTACATGGACTCCATACCGTGTACCCCTAAACTTAAAGTCACCCCCATTGTAAAAAAATCAAGTAGTCTCAGCATCATTTCAAATGAAGGGCCTTTCCTGGGAATCTTTTTTTAAGAATCAAAAAAGTAGATGCACACCTTTGGAAAAGCATCTTTTTCCACTTCTTAGGCTTGTGCCCTTCATGGGATTCAAATCAATGTATTATACATGTTCATAATTTGAAGTTTGAAGAAAAAGAAATGTACTGTAATCAGCAGCTTTAGTCAAAAGTAACTCAGGATTGGTCTAAGTTCACTTTATTCGTCAGAGTCAGCATACGTGTACCGTTATTTTTCATCTGGAAATGTATGCAATGTACATACATATTGGGATGCAAAAAAAAACATAAATAGAAAGATGTACAACCCAAAAAAATGAAAATGTTCCCACCCTCTCTATATTTTGGGACTCAATCATAGATCACCTGTACACTAACTTTCTTTGTGTCATTTGTGATCATAGTGTCAGTGTTGAGTCGAGTGCATCACAAGTCCATCACAAGCCCAGTCACAAGCCCAGTCACAAGTAAATCAAAACTCCCTTCACAAGTCCAGATGCAAGCAACAGGGAATGAACAATAACAAGGAAATACCTTTGTCAAAGTTTATTTGAATAACAAGTGATATGAATTGGGACTGGATGACTTGTGAGGACTTGCATGGATTTGACTTCATATACACCGTTTAGTGTGCATCTAGAAAACCTAATTCATCATTGGAAAAACATTGTTTCAAGTTGAGGAATCTTTGTCATGATGATAAAATAATTTCTGGAAATACTTTAGAATAGTTAGCATGTTATACATGTAGTACATCATTTTTTTCTTTTTAAATAAATGTACATTTTAGATATAGAATTTGATTTTTGTTTGTTTGATGATATTTGTTCAGAGTTGTCAATTCTATCACAAGTCAGTTACATGTACATGTAGGAGTCAATCAAGATGTCAAATCACAAGGCAGTACAGTGTAGTAACAGGAGATGAAACAAAAATGCCTTTGTCACGGCTCTTTGACACGGCTTTTCATGACAGGGTGATTGTGGTTGACTTGTGGTGATTTGAAGGAACCCAACTACATTTTGTACACTTGACCTCTTTAAAAGGATAAATTTTAAGTTTAATAAATAAGCCTTTTAGGTATCAGATTCTAAGCCTGATTGTTTTAGGTTTAGTCGCCAAGTGTGTTATCACAGCCTGTCATGATACCTATATGTGACTAGTCATCACAAAATAAGCTGAAAGTACCAGTAACACTTTTCAAGAATTAAGAGTATATATCTGGATGGTGCAGAACAAGAGCTTTCCTTGTGGTATACAACATCAAGGGGTACTGAGTTCAGTAACGGAAATAAAGTTGATGTTTGACAGAACAAATTGGTAAAACAGGACTAAGAGATTAAGGTTCACCTGAAAACCAAAAATCAACTACCCCTCCAAATTTTGCCTTTGCCCCACTGTACTGTAAAATTGCAATTTCCAACTTACCCTAACCTTCCTCAATCCTACAAAATCCTCCAGGTGGTTTGGAGGATTTTTAGGATTGAGGCTGAATGGCAAAATAAAAATGTTGGCTGATTTTGGAGAATGCATGGCGTCAAGTTCGTAGGCTGTACCCTGCATTATTTATGTTCAGCCATGCATAATTGAGCTCTGCATTATGCTCAATATCATTCACACTGCTTTTGAATGTCGTAGACACTGCCTCAACCCATTAACAGTGATTGTTAGTAGATTTTGAGGGATTGAGGCAATGGTCACCCCTCCGCTGAAATAACAGATAATTTTTAAGGATTGAGGCTGAATCCAGTGATTACGTGGTGATCATTCGAGGATTTTGCAGGACTGAGAATGGTTCGCAGCCAAAAGGGGCTAGCTAGGGGTTGGGGTTATAAGCTCACTTGCGGGTGGCAAGATGGGAACAAACTCAGTATACATTCAATATGTTAAAAATGTTGAGGCTATGTCTAAGCAGTTACAACTTTTAAGATGCTAAAGCCGAAATTTTGTGATCAAGAATTTTATTCCTGGGTTTTAAAGTGTAATGTGGTACCCAACATGTACCCAAAGCCTAGAGAAAGAAGTGTCCAAAAAATTTTCCAGTTTTTAAAATAATGCCTAAACTGTTGGTTAAGGCTTTGTTTTTGTCTTTTAATGTTTGTGCAGACAATGACGGCCAGAAGGTTGGGCAAGAAGAAAGAAATGACATGGTGAATGGTAGCGATTCCCTACCGCCTCAGGTACAAGCCAGGTAAGTCTGAACTGACTCGCTAGGACTAGAATATCATTCAGTCCATTTCTAATATCCAGACATTTTGTGTTGGACGGTACAATGTAGGTCTTGCTGTGTATAGGAGAGGATAAAAAGGCCAACACAATGTTTTTGACTGTTTATGCAGTTGACCTTGCAGTGATATCACAATGATGGATGTGCTTCAGATTACACTATTGGCGATTATAAAATCTCCTACCATTGCTTAAAGACATAGTCCATCATTTGTAATTAGTGCATTTTGTTTGTTTGAAGCAACAAAAGTGTTCAACATCTAATGAAGGATACTAAACAACTAACCTGATGAAGTTTCAGCTCCGCTTCAGCTGTATATTCCGAGAAAAACAGCATTCTAGAATCTCAATTTCAAATCAAAAGTTGCTAAATCATATTTTGAATTGTTTTAAATTGCAGCTATACGCGATGTCCCGCACTGATCCGGCGAATTATAGCAACCGCACGCGCCTGTGCGTCGTGCCAATGCTTGCACGCGCTGCGCCGAATAACAAAACGAACTACTAATTTAAATTGTCCTTCTTTCGTTGATTTCTTCGAAATAGTAGCTTGCCAGAAAGATTAATTTCACAGGGAGTTTAGTCCACTTACTATCTTTCAACCAAGTATGTTTTTCAACAATAATACGCCAGTTAATTTTTTCGGATGGCTGCAAATGGTGGACTATAGCTTTAAAGTTTACAAAGATTTTTTTCAAATCACCATTTATTATGTGGTATCAATTAGATACCTCCACACCACACTCATGCTGGCATGAGATTTTTCAGACTTTTTTCTGAAATCAGACTTTTAATCTGAGAGTAAGACTTTTATTTATCAGTATAGAAATAAATGCAGCTTACAGACCTTTTATCAAATGTTCAGACTTTTTTTTAATTGACAATCTCATCCCTGCTCTTGTGCATTTTTACTCTCAGTCGTAAGATGGCTAGACCGAGCAGTGCAAGACCAGCGCCTCCAAGAGTAAAGAAACAAGATGCAACTGAGGATCCTGCCATGAGGTATTATCCCCTGAGTTGGCTATTGCTATTCTTTCCTCGAGTGTCCAATTTCTTTCAAATCTTTTGCAGTCATTTTTGTTCATATGCATTTGGTTCACTTCATAAATTTGGGGTAAATTTGTATCGTGCCCCTGTTACATTTGATATAAAATTTTGTTAATTCAAAACACATTTCTTAATGCCTTCTTTCTCCAAGACACATACAAATTGTTTGAAGTCAATTTAAATGATACTTACATGCCTGAAAAGAAAAGGAAAACATACTGTGAAAACATACGTACTCTGTTAACCCATATGAATATGTATACATGTATACCCCCATATTCCCCCCCCCCCCAAAAAAAAATCAATGAAAGAAAACTTTTTAACAAATAACAGTTCAACTGTGTTGTTTTCACGGGTGGCTGGTTTTGGTCAGTCCATAAACCTGGGGTCCATAAGTATGACATATGACTTGTAATTTGTCATACCAAATTTTATATGTGATGTAATAACAGGGACACACAAAAATTGGACCCCAACATTTAATGGACTGACCCTTTTATGATGTAAGTTTCACGTAAAAAGGCTGTCATTTATGGCATTGTAATCAGGGCATTGTCACAAAATGATTTTTTTTTTCTTTCAGGATTGGTAGTGGGAAGCAAGTCAGCAATGTCATCGTTGATAATGGTCAGAATTCTGAAGATGAAGATGACACATTTGTAGTAGAGGAATCGCAACCGGTAGCCATTGAAGAACCTCAGGTAACGAATGCGTTTTCAGCCATCCTCCCATGACTGTCTATGTTGAGAATCATCCAAAATTGTAGTCAAGTCGGTCAAAATCCAGTCACAAGTCTATCAGATCACTTCTTTCAAAAGCTGACCACCAACATGAGCAAATGGACAACTGTCCCTACCTCATGCTACATACTGTGCTTTGGCTGCCATTGGGCAGGCCATGTAGCACAGGCTCTTCAATGAGTTTTCAATGTATGACAAAAATTACAAGTATTGGTTCAACACTGACATACGTGAAGTTGGCCCACGTCATTTTCAAGACTGTTAGGTGTTACCAGTTCTTATGGTCAACAAACTTCTAATTTGCAGCTCTGGAAGAATGGAACAAATTACTTTCTCTATAAAAATCAACCCATCTTCGGAACATTTCAAACCGCAGCTGAAACCTATCTGTTTACAATTAAGTGTGGATAGGCATTCTTATGTATTGTGCGCTATATAAGAACTGTTTATTATTATTATTATTATGAGTACTTACTGATATCATCACTCTTTACTGCTGATACATGTAGGTAATGGGCAGTGAATCCTTGGAGGATGATGGTGAACATGGAGGGCTGGTCAAGAAGATTCTAGAAACTAAGAAGGAACTGGAAGGCAACAAAGCAGGAGACAAAAAAGATGTGCGTATCTGACTTGCCTTACTTAGTCACAAAGAGCTTTAATTATTGTTTCTTTCTGGTTATGGAGCTGAGGATGTCTCAAAAGCACACACGGCACTGTAGCTGGCAATCCAAAAGTGCCATTACTTATTATAGATAGAACATAATGACAAAATGTTCAGTTTTAAAGGTTTGATGCAAGTGTCAGTAAAAAGTCTCTTGGGAAACAAGAGAATCATGTAATCTACATGTGAGTTTGAGTTTAACTTGGTACCATGTCCCAGTGGTGGACGGGGGGAAGATGTACCTCTGTGCAATCTGAATTTCCCTTTTCAAGTTGGACAACTCGACAGAAATTTAATTGTTGATAAGTACTATGGAGGATCGAGTGTTCAGTCCACCAATGTACTTCCCCATTCGTCTATTTTAGCTCAATCCCTCTTTGTTTCACTGTTTTTCTTCCTATTTCAACAGGATAAACCCATTGTCATTGATGCGGCCCGCCGCAAGGAGCGTGAACGCGTCCAGCGAGAGGTAGAGAAATTGACCTCAGCCATTCAGACGTTGACACGAAGTGCCAACCCGCTGGGCAAGATTATGGACTATCTTCAGGAGGATGTGGACAGCATGCAGAAGGAGCTGGAAATGTGGAAGAAGGAGAATCAGGAACACAAACTGGCCATCAAGAGGGAACAAGGGTTGGTTTATTTTCAATTTTCCTTCTTGTCGGCTCAAAATGAGTCAAAAATTAGTCATAAATGAGTCGTGGCTCTTAAAAATAAACAGATCATAACCTTGATCACAGAGTTGTAGGTAAATCATAACCAGTCATCAAAAGTCATCACAAGTAAATCGCGAGCCAATCCCAAATCATTCAGTCTTACTTCAAGTAATAAAGCTATTCCAATGAATCGTGAAGAATGACTTGTTGAATTGTTGACAACTCCAGGTAATCAACAGGAGCACTCAACCTTCTTAACCACATGATACCAATAATGCTCTGTTTCAAACTGTAACAAATTATCAAAGCGATATGCTAAGCATGCTGTTTGTAGTTTATCTTAAGGGAACTAAACATTCTCAATACCGTCGTTGTAAGATTCAGTCATGTTTGTTACTACTTGTACAAATTTATACTCACTCTAGAGTTAACTGCAAAGTTGGAAACTGATTCTCCTGCTTACCAAACCTTTTAAATGCTTTTTGTTTTCTGGTGCAGCATCACTGACACAGAGCTGGAACCCCTGAAAACTCAGCTGACAGAATTGGACCAAGGCATCCAGGATCAGTTGGATACTATTGCAACAATCAAATCCAACCTTCTCCGGGGTGATGAGAAAATTGCCAAAATGGTGAGCACGGTTGCTATTTCCTGAAGTCCAACTTGGGTTTTCAATTATGGCTAACTTCTGTAGATTTGTTTCCCAAGAATACCTCTCTGTCCAATTTCCTTTCTGAAGCCATGTCTTTCCTTGCTTGGAAATCACTTAAGCTGGACCCTGAAACCGTGAATGTGTTGGTTTGGGCACATAACATCACGAGCATTTTGTTCCCACTGTTGGATTCTGTTGGATTATTCAGGTTTCACACTGTGATCACTTAATAGCCTTTAAACATAGTTGGATATAATAATTATACTCAGTGAAACAAAATGGTTGTTTTTGGTCTGCTTAATTTTTTAGTTCACACAGTATCTTATTCAATTTGTTGCACCTTTGGTCACTGGGTATTATGCGTCTCTGTTCCTGAGCACTTTTGCACAAGCTCTAGCACAAGCACCAAAACAATGCTGCTATTTACCATACGGCCCAAGAACCAGCCCTCAGAGTACATCACAAGCACACCACAAGTCAATCCAAAATCCTCTAGTATCGAGTCATATTAAGCAATTGTAATGCATCGTTACATTTCTTGTCCTTGTTCAGCCCGGCTTATCTCTTGCCGTACTTGTGATTTGACTTGTGATTTGGGTCGTTATGGATGGGATTAAAAATCTTTCTGCCAAAATTATCATTGCTGTTCAAGATAAACTTTTATCAAAGTAAACTTTTCAAAAAAATCTGGGAATGTGCACACTTTCAAATTTGCAGAAAGAGTGAAGGTCTATTTTTGGCTTGTGCTACTTTTCCTACCCCTCAAAAGAAAGTGTCATCTGAAGTAATTTAATGGAGTACTTGGTGAGAAGAGAAGTATTGTTTAGTTGTAAACAAAATGTGAGAAACCGAAGAAAGAATTTGCATGAAACGTTCCCTTAAAAAATCAATTTCTTTGCTACTTTGTATAAAAAACCATTAATTTCCTGTCTGTTTCTACTATCCTTGTTAAATCAGTAGTATATTGAGGTTTTTTTCAAAAGTTATGGGGGAAAAAATGAATTTACTTCAGATGTGGACGTTGTGTTCTGTACTTTGTTCAGTTACATTGTCAACAAAGTTTTTACTTAAAACGAAAAAAGTTTCTTACAATTCCTGCTCATTTTTTGTACAAGTTGGACATGTAAGTTTTTTAAGATATAAAGAGTTTCTATATTATGTTTTCTTTGTATGTTTAACATTCAATATTTGTTATATTTTGTTCTGCTCTAAAACATTTTCAATTACCTGTGGGATAATTTTCAGATCACTCATAATTGGATGAAAATATATTTTAGGAATAGGAATCTTCAGACTTGGATGTCATCAAAAATGCAACTTTGACATGGTGTAAAAATTCCACATCTGTCTGTGGATAGATCTGATGCTGGAATCAAACTTTGAAAATACATGTACCTTTTGTCAAAGAAACTAGGAAATGCTTGGGCAGCTTAATCATTGTTGGAATTGATTAACAGTCTATACTGAGAGTCACAGTTCTATACAAAATCACCTCCACATTTTGCTACAAGTATAAATTGATCAACTTTTAATAGAATTCAGTCATGAGCCAGAGTAGTGAATCTGGAGGTCATTAAGTCAGGGGAATACTCTTACACCCTTCTTTTTCGTTCTGAATGTGCATTTTCATAGATCAACAGATTTAGCTTGCTCTCGTATCACATGAGGTTTGAAATTCTCCTTTTACCGGATGTATTTTTTTCTCCATTATTTTGTTGCATTGCTGTTTTGTATTTTAATTGTTTTATTTATTCTGTTTTTAATATCACCTTTGTACATTTCCTTAAATAATCACAGGATATGGCAAAATCAAAATTTAAAGATAGCAGTTATAAATATTATGATTCAAATCCTGATTTTGTTGTGGTTAAATGACTGAAGTGTTTGACAGATGCATTACTTTGTTCAACAAGTATTTGCTTTTTTTCAGATGTTGTTTGTACATTTCAAAAACGAATATCCATTTGTTATTTACTGAAAATGTGAAGTTGATTGCTTCGTGAACTGTATATTAGTAGAAAGAGTGTTCTGTTGTAAAGTTTTCCAATTTGCAATCTGACCTTACACTGGATAGGATTAAGGTTTGTCTGTGTAAATGTAAAGACAGACCTCAAACTCTGAAGTTGAAGGTCAGGTGTATTTATAGCATAGATAAGTCAGTAGTTATGTACTTAATTAGTTGGTGGGGGAGATATTTATGGAACTTTGATGTCCACGACCACCTGCATGCATGGAGGTAGTGTAGATGAATTGTTTGCCATAGTGCGTCATTGCTTACTTTATTTTTGAACTGATGTCTGGATTATTAATAAAACCTGCACACATCTAACATATAACTTCATGATTATAGCCCCTGCTTGTTATAGATGTATCAAAAAGCAAGGAAACAGCCCACTTCAGCTTGCTTCCTGGTATTATTATTATTATTTATTCGGCCAAGATTTGCAACAAACATATAACAATGCAGAGAATAATATGACAATGTAACTCTACAGGAGACAAGTAGTACAAGTATAAAGAAGTCATGAAACAATACAAACAAGTGTAAACAAAAGCAAGGAGGTACTTAATAAAGGCAGAAATGATAAAAAGGCAAGGTTGTTGTTTCAAAATAAGACAAAACAATAACAGAACAAAACCCAAATTAAGATGGCCAGGATCTTAAAAGGGAACACTGAAATTAATATAAAATCTGTTAACAGAGCAGTAGTTAATAAAACAACATACATTTATAAGAACATAAAAATACAAAATTAGCAAATGGCAAGTTTGTAAATAACCACTTAACAGTGTGGAACAAAAAAGGTCTACTGCAGCTCAATGCTGGTGTTTCATTGAAGGAATTTTTAACGCTGATCGGATCCCAGAGGGGCTTACCCCTATGACTCTCTGTCACTTGTGAAGTTAGCTTTAGTCTCACCTTGGGCCAAAAGTGGTTAAAATAGCAATTGCCAAGTTAGAGTAATACCAATGAATGGGCTAATTCCGGCCTATTGTGTAGGCCACATGCACGAAAACCTCCATGAGTAGCCATTCTGAATTGATTGAATAAAATTGTGTGCACCCTGGGACCAGCTTTTCTAGGCATTCCATGCCTTGTTTTTGACCATACGTATCAGTTGTCCGTCATTGGCAAAATTGTAGAGTACATTTGTAAACGTAGGGCTCTTTAGCATGGGAATTTTCGAAACCAAAGGTATGCGCAGATTTTCAATCTTAGAATCAGTTTAAGTTGTTGTGCACAGGAGAATATTGTGTCATTTTCAATTCAGTGATAATATCAATATTATGGATTTTACGACACGTTTTCAAAATATAATGTGTTTTATGATTTATCGATTTTACATACATGTGTCAAATAGAATAATGTAACCTAGCAGTTCAGCGTACGTATCTACGCTTCTTGTAGGGATGCCTCCTATACATGACTGTACAGGATCAACATTAGTTGCGATTAAATTTCCAGTATGACTCGCCACGTTCAAGTTTGTTTTCGTAAGTTAACTTTTGTCATTAGTTCACTGCCTTTACACCTTATCACGCCAAGTTATCCACAAAAATCCATTTTGAGTGCTTTTAATTCCGCCTGGGATTTCGTACTAAAAAAAAATTATTAAGGGCCATACATACATGTTTATGCATATGGCATTGAGTTTCTTTTATTGTGTGTTTACCGAATATCAATGTATGTATAGTGTACTTCCTCCAATTGTGTAGCCCAAATAAAGTGCACTTTGAAAGTACGGAAATTAATTGAAACGAAGTGGTAGCTCGACGACAACCGTTCATTAAAATGCTCTAATGTAACTGTTTGACTAAAATAACAACAATGATCTTGATATCATTGTACTGTTCTCATGAATAAACATACTAAACCGGGAGCCAGGTTGAGTTTAATTAACAATTTCAGCACAAAAGGTTTGATGGAACCAATCGATTGCCCGTCGGGGGTTCCGAAATGGCCATTCTTAAGTTGCCCTAGGTCGGATGGGGGTCAGGGGACCATGGCCAAGTGTCCAAAATTTTAAGTTTAATTAACATGTCGCGCACAAGCGCCGTTTTTGGACTTAAGTGTTGAAATTGACCCCCTGATACCAATTATGCTACTGAAGAACGGAGAAAAGTCGGACAAAGTTACTAAAGAATGATTTAAAGACTGTATTAATATATGTTTCATATATATACTGTATACATAAACAAATGTACACGTATATATTCTGGTCAATAGTGGGCCCATTATTTTTGCCCAAACCGTGCCCAAATTTGTGATAAGAGCATGAAATACGGCGTGCAGATCCAAAATGGTCAGAGAATCATTTTAAGAGGTGGAACCACCTTGAAACCTGCCGATTTGGGGGCGGATCTTGATTTTTTTTTTAAAGGGGGTGAACGGAATAAAAACTCAAAAGTATTAAACATTCATTCTCCTTTTTCATGCCTTGAAATAAATTTGGACATGACATAAAATATTCTAGCATTTTAAAGTCATATTTTCCGCCCAATTTGTGGGCATGGCCTAAAAAATGTGTAAAGGGGTGGTGTATACGAGTGGTTTGATCCACTTCTGCCAAATATGGTGCATTTTCGTGGCAAAACCATGAAAATTGGCAGATCTGGTTGAACTTAAATGTGCTGAGCATATTTTTTTCGAGAGATATCCACTTTGGAATTTGCTTACTGTGGGGGCAGAGCACAAAATCCAGAAAAACTGTTTCTGCAGCATTCAGTGTTCTTTGTATGTATGCTTTCAAATAGGCGTAGCATATGAAACCACCAGGTACTGTCACCCATTTGGTGGGCATGGCATAAATTCTAGGCTATTTATGGAAGCGCCTTGATTCAAACGAGGCCCAACTCCTCATTTTGGTGGTAAAAACACATTCTGCATTCGTTAACTATACAATTTTTTTTACAAAACACTGTAAACGGACTGTAAAGACTGAAGGTATAGCATTTTGCCCCTTTTGTGGTGCTACATTTTAAAGTACATAGTAGGGGAAGAATAGTATACATGCTGACTCAAAGTAATTTAATCTACCTCCAGTCTAGCTACAGTAACCTGTAGCATCATGTCAAAAATGCAGTCAGTTTCCGTTGTTTTTTTTTGATAATTTGTAATGACTTTTGGCGTGATCCCTGAAATATGGCATCTACTGCATTCTGATTTAAAAAAAGAAAAAGAAAAAAAAAGACATTGACAAATTGGGATACCGCCAACATTTGCTACCGCCATCATTTGCTTTTCCGTAAAAACAGCACGTGGGAAAATTTTCTAAACCACCTTCAACGTTTTCTTACTTCTAAATTATACAAGTTCAGGCGGAACACTTTCATACAAGAGGTCCCAAAGTTAATTTTGGCAAAGACTTTGTCATCAATCGATAGGTACTCTTTTTTTCTAAATGCAAATGTTCCTACATGCCTTTAAGGATGCTCCTTGATTCTTGACAGTTGATTAAGATGTACACATAGGTTACATTAGCTTCAAGCCTTTAATATGAAAAATAATGCAGTAATTTCGATCGTGCCAGTATAGACCGGGAGCTAGGTCGAGTTGTTAATTATAAACTCGACCTAGCTCCCGGTCTATACTGGCACGATCGAAATTATTGAATTATTTTTGAATTGGCCCCAATCGTCATGGGAATGAAAAGTTCGCTGCGCTGAAAAACAAACATGGTACAACATGGCACCGAATACATATGATGTTTCACAATCGATAGTAATTGGCTGTTAAGAAGATAAGTATAAATTTAGAATAGTTGATGCATTGTCCCTAGTATGATAGTGATTCGAAATGGTAGTAATTTGTCATTAAGTCAACAAACAGTGGGTATCATTCAAGTATATAATTATGGACTTAGTTTGTTTGCGATGTAGGAGTGTTTGATGTACGTAGGGGACAACAAAACTGTACAAAGGGTTCTTTGCCCATGATAACCCTAGATTTCACAACCTCTTCCATCATTTGCCTAGTCTATGTAATATACCCTGGCCATGGCGAAGCCAACGATGGTCTATTGTACTACAGATTCGGCGATTAATTATGCAACTAGACTGCGTACTATGACCTCGAGAAACTGACCAATCAGCAGGCGCCAAACGTGCGTAATTCAAGCTCCCCGCGTGCGTAAACATCACGCCCTCGATGAGTAACATTTTGTACAGGTGGTTGTATTATAAAAACGCGGCATCGAAATTGACCAATCACAATCTTAGTCCTAATTTCGGAATGAAATGACGTCACGCATGCTATTATATCAGACGTTAAACAGGAGTCTTGGCTCAGTGATTAACGGGTGATGCTCAAAGACTATTTTGCCCTCCATGGAGAATTTTTCTCAAAACTCAACACATGAATCGAAACTCTCCAGCCGCGGACGTATTGGGCGCGGCTGAAACTGAGGGCAAAGTAACTTGCTCTTCGTTTAGAGCATCAAGGATTCAAAACAAGCGAGTCTATTCTTCGACTTCGCACTTTGTATATTCATCAACATTTGAAAGCAGTCTTGTAGCAAGTCAGCCTATAGGGCCTAATTATGTTTGGTACAAAGAAAATTGAATTGAGTTTCTCCGTGCTCCGACCCTAAATTGTACAGATTTCCAATCGTATACTAAACTTTGCCTGTGCGCTTCTCACTGAAAAAAGCCTCTTTTTTATTGCAGCTATAGAGCCATAGAAAATTCTGAAAATAGCACGAAGCATGAGAAGATTTAAACATGACTCGAAATTAATGCACTTCTGTTGGGTTCCGCGCATAAGTCCGACGCCTCATACCCGGTCCGACGCCTATAAGTCCGACAAAGTGGGTCCATCAAAGTCCGACGCCTCATAGGTCTGACGCCTCATATTAAGTCCGACGCCTCATAAGACCGAAATTTATGAGGCGTCTGACTTACGATACGGCCCCTTCTGTAACTGAGCCCATCGGCATTTTGCAAGTTTTTCCCAGGAGGTGAAGATGTAAAAGAGCTGCCTAAAAGGTTCATTCAAATATATTGAAGGTTCATGTAATGTGTACCTGGGTGAGCGATCACGGCAAAAGCCTGGGACACTACAGTTTTGGCAACATTAATGTGGCAGCTATTATCATTAACGAGCCGCCCACCCAAAAGGGAACCAAGAGACAAACAAACAAACTAACAAAAAATACACAAACAATTAATGCCGGAAAGACAAATATCAAACTTAATTTCAATGCCAGGTAAGTTTTAAGTGTGCCATGTTTATTTGTTTGATTTCAATTGTAATTATAGAAATATATTCGATGATACCTGTAAATGGCGGGCCTCAGCTGTTGGATATATCGAATAAATAAAATTAAAGAAATTAAAAGTTTCCCCCCGAGTTTATACCAAGTGGCTCTTCACGAGAAATAGTAAAATGGGTAGCTAAACTATGCGAATTGTTTTCTTGTATGTTTGTCTATCCTCCCAGATACAGCAAACGGAGAGGCCCAACCGAAGTAAAAAAAGGGCGTTTATGTTTTTTTCTTCCAAAGTCCGGCTATATTTTGCATAACGTATTTGCAATAACAATTATATACTTTTTAAGTATTTTGGCGGATCTTTGGAACCATTAACCCTTTTGATAAAGTACTAGAGCAGTGCTATATATATTGCGTGAACTAGCATCTGGCGTTGCCAGATGGATCATCAACAGACGACTGTGGGCACCTTCCAAAAGTCCTAAACTTGATGAAGATCGCCATGGCTGGCTTGCGTATTTTGGGACTTCTTGTGTTAGCAGTGGCCGGTGAGTATGCCAAATAATACTCTCCATGCGCGGATCCAGAGGGGGTAGGGGTAAGCCACCGGGCCCCCTGGGCTAAAAGCTATAAAGATGTTTTTACGGCACACGTTCGAAGCCAAATTTGACATCCGGACCCGAAAGACGACGCAAGTACATTTCAAATTTAATTTCCTATACTCGGGCTCGTATCACGTTTTGGGTCCGGGGCAAAATGGGTCATTCTTAAAATCTCTGAAAGTAGCCCCATTTTTTCGTAACCCCAGAATGGATTGCTTTGCGCGCATACCAATAATTGCATTACATGTACAGGGTGTGTCAACAAACGGAACCCAAACCCCAAAAATGTACATGAAGTTCAAATATAAATATAAAAAAATGTAGCACCAAAACTAATAATGACTGGAAAGCCAATTTCGCAAACTACTTTTAGATGCAAAAATTACTGAAATAGCTCAATCCATTCTAAGAATATCACCATTTAAACCCAATGACCCTCGTGAATATTGTGTGTTCTGACTTTGGATCAACAAAAAAAATCACGCAGAATACTTGTTTCAACAACTGTCGACAATTACTGTAGTATATAATAATTAACAGCCCTGCTTGTAGGCAAACAATATGATTTATAAAATTCACTTCTTCTTTTTTAAGACGGGCCTACAAAAGGACTTTGTTTGAATACAATTGTGACGACGATTCTTGAAGTCGCATTTTTGGACGAAAGAGGTTTTAGGGTTTTCGTGTTTTATTATGGTAATATACTTTGAACGGATTGAGCAATTTCAGTATTTTTTTCATCTAAAAGTAATTTATAAAATTGGCTTTCCAGTCATTGTTATTTTTTGGTGCTACATATTTTTTTAAAATAAGAAATACAATGTAAATTTTACGGGGTTTGGTTGACGCTTTTTCTGACACACCGTGGATTCCCTGTTTGCGCAATTAATTTGGCCAAAATAGTATAGCGAGGGCCTAAATCACCTACCGGTACTTATACGCGCTTTCAAAACTTGTATAAAGGATCTTTCATAAAATTCATTCAAAGAAACATGGCATCCAATTTAAGCACTGGATGATTTTTATTTTGGGACAAAAAAGGCTCGCCTCGCAAGCAGACTGGTTTACCGGTCCGTACATCATCGATTCTGGTTGTGGGGCAGGAACAAGGCACAGTACATGTACCTCCATACTGTCGGGCCGCTAGTAATCCCAAATGTGTAAAGCAAGAAGTTTTGGGCCAAAGGATTTTATTCTCCGGGATGAAACTCGATAGTCTGGGGAATGCGGCAACAGTGTTGTGAAACATTGGCAAAGGTTCACCTGTTATTTTTGGCCAACTTGGCGGGTAGTTTATTTGATAACATTTAAGCAGATTCGCTGATTAATTATGCAAGACAACTGCATCTTGATCTCTAGATTTTGACCAATCAGTGGGCGCTTTCCATATCAGATCTTCGGTCATTACCAGAGTCGCTTCGGCTTCGTCTTCGGCTTAAGGAGATTTTAGGCCCCCAACTTTTGGAACTCCAGCTACATTTTGGTGCCTGTTATGCTTCAGGAACATTCAATCTGTTGATGTGAAGCCAAAAGTTTGAATATTTTTGTTTAGTTTGCCTCTCAGTGATTCAGAAGTCGGAGACAAAGCCGAAGCCAAAGACGAAGCAAAGATTTCGAAAACCCCCATAGTCATGGATAAAACAAAAACCCAATCCATATAGACACGGCAACAAAGGCTTTGTCACGCGCTCTGTATTATGTTGCGCGACACGCGCCCGGCTGTTGTATTACAAAACATTTCATTCGACTATACCAATCACAGTTTTAGTCCTGATTTGGGAATGAAATGACGTTACGATTAAGTAAAGTCGACTCCGATTGGCTGAGGCGAGATCGCATAAATCTGCATGCTTTGACATAATTTTATCAGACGTTATACAGTCATGAGACGTGGCTCTGTGGTTAACGGGTGATACTCAGACTACCTGGCGGGACGAACTTTGACTCTTTTTTTCTCCAAAGCCCCTCCCTTCTGGTATTACGATAATCACTGTCCATGGGCCACCAACGTCGGTTTTTTTTATATCTAAGTTCCAAAGAACATCACCCAACTTTTGAGGTTAGTAAGGCGATCAACAGGTAGGCCTACAGTGAAGTCCCGGTGCTTTATGTTTGCCTGGTCGCTGCCAGCGTAATTATAACAGATCGTATCTTGAAAAGTCAATAACAACCTGGGGGACTTTTACCTTCCTGAGGTAAACAGGGCAAATGTGGCATGATTTCATTGCCAGATAAGTTTGTTGGCGGGAGAGGTGATTGTATTAAGAAGGGGTGTGGTCTCGAACGACGGTGGACTTTGATTACCTGCGGCCCCTCTATGGCATTGAGGACCTTTTCTTTTTAAATGCTCGCAACGAAAGACAGCATGCACAGACGCCCTGAGCGGTTTCAGTGCCAATTTGAAATTCGTCAATGGGTCATCAATTTTAGTAGTCTGAGTATCACCCGTTTATCCATAGTCTGGTTCCCAGACCTGACAATAATTATACCCGCCGCTCACGTCCAAATTGTAGGTGAGGCTCAACCTCGCCCCCAGGTTGTCGAGCAGTACGCGCCCACCACTACCTGCTCTCTCGCCCTGGTATTGGATCATTTTGCATGTGCACGATTTTTTTAACACGTATGCAAATGAAGAAAAGTCTCGTGTCTGCATGGGCGTTACATTGGCGTTTGTTTTTGTACTGAGGTATCTGGGGTTAAAGCACAATCAATTCGTCGCGCCGTGAGTTACGAAAACACGATTGTTTTAATAGTTAAAAAGTTACAATCTTATCCCGCCAATATGTAATATCACATTTCATATTAATATGAGCAAATTGGAAAGGAAAACATTTTTGAGAATAATCATAAAAACATGTAATGCACGTTGGAAATAACAACAACTAGAACACGATATAAACTGTTCTCTAGTTTCCCCAAACATGCCACTTTGTCACAGCATCATTTTAAAGGGAAGACGAAATAAAACGAAATGATCAAATTATTACGAAATACCTGACTGGATTGTTGAATGAAGTATCCTGTAAAATCATGGCTCCTGGTGTGCTGACATTTTCTAGAAAATATGACATTTTTCCAACGCTGGTCGGCCGACCAGAGTTGAAGAAAACTGACTGTTTTTCAAAAACTGCTCCGAATTTTTCAGAATTAGTTATTCCGCATTTTTTTTTTTTTTTTGCAATTGATTACACACCCGGTAAAGGGGTACGAGTCTGCTAGACTGATTCTTTGACCTAACAATTCCCCAAAGTCTATAAATTGCTCCGTTTCATCTTAAGTGGGGTCAGAGAACCAGACTGCAACATCATGATTGGTTTTCTTTGTTTTTCCAGCATCTACAAGCCCAAAACGTGAAAAAGAGCCATTTTCACAATATTTGCTTTAACATACTAATCGATTTATTACTCCAAATCGATTTATTTCTGAAAATGGCAGCAAAAGCAAATTGTACATTCTCTTTAATGAGATTATGACAGGATTTACCGTACGATGTATAAAAATGTACCATACCTAGCTGCACGAACCGCTCGTCTAGCAAACGATGCCCGTGCCCGAACGGCCAATGCATGGCGACTGGAGCACTGGCCCAGCTTGCGTACTACGGAAAGTCACACGCTGCGCTTTGTGGGTCAGCGGAAAACCTGTATAAACGTCGGCGAATGTGTACTTCTTAAGTTGGACTGTCCTATTCGCAATTAACTCAAAAATGGTATCATTATTTTCATCTATTCTTTATCTGCTTGGCACTGTCTTTACTTTGTCCAGAAAAACTGGAGAAATATTTGTAAAATTGGATTGACACACTCAGGGGTTGAAGAATTTTCGGGGAAAACGTATTGTTTCTCTCTTCAAATTTTTTTCAGGATAATTTTAAAATTTTCACAATCTCAGCTCAAAACATGATTGTAAAATTCATATTTAATGTTCTCAGAAATTTTCATGAGTTTTTTTTTTATGTGTTTTATTGTTTTTGGCTGATCAACGGGTGCGGAATGGCGCCATCTGTCGTTTGTGCGATTTCAGAATCTTTTAGTCTGGCCGTACGCATGCGGGGTAAAAAACCATTACCTGCACACTCGAAAAAAATGGTCGGCCACCATTCGATACAAAACCTCATTGGCCGGGGGTTTTGTGCGTAAACCTTATCAGGATCAGCCGATCACACAACTTGCCAAAACCGCAAGTCCCACCATAAAGAATAAGTTAACCGGACCATTTTTTCCAAGTCTAATGGCTGGTCTTTTAAAAAGAACTTTTGCAAAAAGGAACGACACTTTGGAAACATCATCAGTTTGGATATTATGCTTCATGAATTTCTGAATAAACGAGCGCATTTAAAAAAAAAGTATTTAATTACTTATTTTATTTAAGTATTTTTAAATTTGGATAATCTCAGCTCATAACATGATTGTAAAATTCATATTTAATGTTCTCAGAAATTTTCATGAGTTGGTCGTCTGTGTTATATTGTTTTTGGCTGATCAACAGGTGCGGAATGGCCCTCTGTCCTGTTCAGAATCCGTCTGGCCGTACCGTACGTGCGCATGCAGGAAAAATTCATTTCATCGCGAAAGGCACGGAAACACTCTCGAAACGTAATAGACCGGGAGCTTGGTTGAGTTTAATTAACAATTTGAGCACAAAAGGTTTGAAGGTAATCGATTGGCCGTCGGGGGGTAGTTCCGAAATGGCCATTCTTAAGTTGCCCTAGGTCGGATGATGGTCACGAGGGGACCATGGTCAAGTGTCCAAAATTTCGAGTTTAATTAACATGTCGCGCACAAGCCCCGTTTTTGGACTTAAATGTTGAGATTGACCCCCGATACCAAAAATGCTACTTAAGAGCGGAAAAAGTCGGATAAAGTTACTTAAGAATGAGTTAAAGATTGTATCCATATATGTTTATATTATAATTATACTGTATACAAATATATACACTTGTATGTCCTGGTCAATAGTGGAGCTCCTTAGGCTCATTTTTTTGACCAAACTGTGCCCAAATGTGTGCTTAGAGCATGAAATACGGCGTGCAGATCCCAAACGGTCTGAGAATCATTTTAAGAGGTGGACACACCTTGAAACCTGCCGATTTGGGGGCGGAGCTTGATTTTGTTTTAAAATTAAAGCGCCCTCAGTCGACAGCAAATGATTAGAGATTGCCGAGTACTCGAGTGCGAGACTCCTGAGTGAAAGAAATCTGGTAAATTTCACTTTTTTGTTTGACATTTGAGGGATTTCAACCCACCCTAGAGGTACCTATCCACATCAAGATGATACTTGGGAAATATTGAGGCCTAACATTTCGTGACAGTAGAGTTTGGAGGTTTGAAAAAAATTGAGAATTTTCAGCTACATCATGTCAACAATAAGTTCATGCATTAGCCCGACTGCGTCTGGCCGTACACTACTATGTAGATTTTTTTTTCCCGCTGATGTAGCGATTTTGCTACAGAGTTTGATCGAGATTATCTTTTCATCCAGGACACAAATTTCCAAAGTTAAGGTTCTTAGTCGTAGAGGCTAGAGCAACTCATACCTTTTCGAAAAAAACGTTCTTTGGTCGCAATATTTTCATCCATCTGGCCAAAAGACGAGTTTCAGTCATCATCTTCCACAAATATCGTCCTGAAAATGCTCCCCCATTCAGCAGTCATTTACGAAGCTTCATGATCGACTTGAAACAGACCACACAAAAAAATGTGAAAAATCTTGACAATTCAGTGGCTTGTTCGTAAAAAAAACGCCAGTTCCAACGGCTGTCGTCCATTTTAATTTGGGTAGTGTATATTTTGCCGGAGGTAACGCCGGCAAACTAACGTTTACTAAAGGTTTGCCGGCGGCAATCCATATCAACAGAGGGCGCTGTACTCTTTAAGATAGGGCTGAATTATAACATGTATTAAATTCCCACCAAAGTTGTGTAGCACAGTTGGTGCAGTGGTTAAGCAATAGCTCTAGTGAGTGGGATGTCCCGAGTTCGAATCCTGATCCCCGGCACAATTTTAAGGTTTTTTTTCCAATCCCCAAATAAATAAGAATATTCTTCTTTTATTATTTTAATATGTCTCAAACATTTTATTGCAGAGTATTACTTTTTCTTTTTCAGATTTGTGGCTCTGGAGGATTTTTTTTAAAAGGGAAATGAAGTCCGAAATTATAAAATGGTCTGATTCCCATCTTGTGAATACGAGGTTACAACGATAATATTGGCATGGAGCCAGACTAAAATTTGTCACCCGAAAATGTTTAAGTACAAAAAAACAGTAACTGCGCATGTTCAGTGCATATCCGGCAAACTAACGTTTACTGCAGGTTTGCCGTCTCCGGCAAAATATCCACTGCCTTTAATTTGCTAATTATGTAAATGTATGCATCACGTGGACGCGTGATGACATCGAAAAAAATCTGTGCGCGCGATGTATGTGGGTACCACACCACTTTCAGGCGCCGCAAGTGAGTTCAATTTCTTGTCTGGTGCGTTGTCGCGGAAAGCAAGACGAGAATGCTGATTTTTTTTCGATGTCATCACGTGATGTTGTAAAATAGCCTGCAAATGTAAAATTGGTCTCATTTGAAAAGTTGGCGTCCAATTGGAACCAAACTTGAGTTATAGATTCAACATGGCAACCTTCATAGTTGTGAAATAGGCTGAAAATGTACATGTACAATTGGTCTCATTTGAAAACTTGAAGATGTCAAATGTCACATACATTTTTGTACCAAGTTCAGTTTTACTTTTACAGACCACATCCTCCAAGCTTAAATGCGCAACTGTTGACTTGAGTCTTCATTTCATGCTGCAATTCAGTGTAATGTTTCTTTAATTTTTAGCAGTCCATACAATTCCACCCTCATTACTACCCACATTTATTTCTACACTGATCAAGGCCCTCTGATCCTCTCTGAGTGCATTCGATTACTTCCCCTGCGCTTACTCGTGCAAGCGCAACTGCGTTCGATTTACCTCTCAGGTGACTTTTCGCACTTACTCGAGCCTGGCCCAAGTAACCGACTCACCGAACTGGTTACTTGGGTAAGTATCCCATAAGGCCATGCAACAAACATAGCTGCCAATGTGACGTCCGGCGGGTGCCTCAGGCTGTGTCTGAAACCTGGCTTCCAGAGCTATGGCTATGTCCATTTTCAGTGCGTCCCTGCGTATTTTCTATGGGTGTGGGCCTAAACCTAGCTCTAGACAGTTGATTTGGATGCAGCCTGTGTCATGTCGAGGTTCAACTTTCCAGTTGTTGCCAAAACTTTACCCGAAACCGTTCGTTCATTTAACTCCACTGTGCATGTCTGATATCACGCAAGGAGCCAGACGCGAGTAAGCTGGGGGAAGTAGGCCTACACTGTAATCGAGCGCACTCATTAAACTACCCTTTGCCATTGCCACCCTACAATCCACACCAAGCAGTCTGGCCCTGATTAGTCATTCTTTCCAAAAAATCAAAAAGAAAACAGCTAGGTGAGACGCATGGTTCTAGAACCACCTTGTGTATTGTTAATAACCTGCTTCTTTTGCTCTTTTTATTTCACAGTACCACTGGTCTACAGTGTTGGTGAGTTGACTTTTTTTATATACCTATAAGCCTGACTGCAGGGACCTATAGACAAGCTCTTTGCAAATAACTTTCAAAGGACAGATAATGTATACATGTCTGTCTGGCCTAGCTATTTCACTCCAATGCAGGAGGAAAGCCCCTTCACCAATTTTCTATCTCACACAGTATGAACTTGTAACAGTAATAGCTGCTGAGCATTCTTGTGTGCAGAATTTGGCTAAAATAATTTGTTTTGCAATGATGAGGTGGTCATGATCATGAAGCAACTTAATTTGGAATCCTTGCAAAATCTTTTCTGCCATTTAAGCTTTGCTACATGTATTTCATTTTATGGACAACCAGCATCAAACTGATACATGACGGGATGTTTCTGACACTGCAGGAAATGCCTCCCAGAAAGGATCTGGTTGGATCATAATTTCAGGTCCTCCATTTATAAACTTGAAATACATGCACATGTACATGAAGGTCTCAGTTGGCTCACTTAAGGTTAATTCGACAAAATGCACAAAAAACAGCCAATAACAGGACTGCTTCTAAATTATACAAGTCTAGCCCAGGTTGGACTTCGTTGTGTACATGCGATGGAGTCCAGGGTGTTAATTCTACTGAAAAAAATTGTAACACCTTTGTCATACCTGTATATTTACCTGGTGGAGCAAGCTGAAATTACGTTTACGTATTCCTAGTGTCCAGAATTATGCATACCCTTGGTTTAGAAAAGGTAAATATGTCTGGGGCGAAGTGTTTACCAAAAAAAATAGCAGTTCCATACTTTCGTTGAAAACATCCTCAGTAGGCCCTACTAACTTCCTAAGAAATATTTAGATACCTTTTTGGAATCAAAAATATTGCAGCAACGTAGCTTTCGATGTCATCACGACATCTTCATTCAGCGTAGTGACTTAAACCACTCAGGTCATGTGACCACCTTTTGGACGATCACAAACCAGCAGGTCATAGTAGATGTTGGGCCGGTCGTATCCGGTGTCTCTGTTAAGGGATGGCTTTTGTGTCCTGATATCGATTGCTTCGCGTATTTTCCTTTTCCAGAACTGGTCCTCCCTGGTAATGACTTGGGCATTATCCAAGCAGATGGAGTGTTGGTGATCTTTGATGTGTTCACCAACCACTATTAAAGGGGCTAACTTCAGGTTGGAATGGTTTTTTAACCTTGTGCCTAGCGATCTGTTTGTCTCGCCCACATATGTTTTGGGGCAATCGGGACATTATATCCTATAGATAACATCGCATTTGTTTTGATGTGGGGTCTTATCTTTGGGGTGAACCAAAACCGATCTGATGGTGTTGGTTGGTTTATGGTATGTTCTGACGCCATGGTCTTGGAAACTGTTAGTGAGTTTTTCCGAAAGTCCCTTGATGTAGGGTAAGGGAACACTGATGTTTCTTCGGTCTTTGGAGTTGGTGTTTTGAGTTTTGGGTTCCTTGGGTTTCGGGATCTTGTGCATCCAGTCCTTGTAACCGTTAGCTGTGAGAGCGGATTTGACATGTTTGCATTCTTGGTTCCTGTCCTGGTCTGTAGTCACAATCTTGTCGACCCTGTCCAGCAACGTCCTCACTACCGGTCGTTTGTGTTCCAGATGATGGTGGGAATCAAAGTTTAGATATTGTTCGGTATGGGTTGGTTTCCGATATATGGTGACCTTTGTGCTGCCGTCGTCGTTGACATGGGCGCCGGTATCTAAGAAAGGGGGTTTGCCATCATGTTCGGGTTCATTGGTAAACTTAATGTTGGTGTCAAGATTGTTGATGTGCATCGTGAACTCCTCAATGTTGTGTTCGTGTATTAAGACAAACGTATCGCCTCATGTACCTGAGCCATAGTAATGGTGGGTGTGGAGCTGTGGATAAGGCCTTGGCCTCGAAGGTTTCCATGTACAGGTTAGCCACAATGGGCAAGACTGGTGAACCATGGCTGCTCCATGTTTTTGTTTGTAGAACTGATCTACGATGACCTGCAGGTTTGTGATCGCCCAAAAGGTGGTCACATGACTGGAGTGGTTTAAGTCACTAGCTGAATGAAGATGTCGTGATGACATCGAAAGCTACGTCACTGCAATATTTTTGATTCCAAAAAGGTATCTAAATATTTCTTTAATATCAACGTGATGGAATCCAATAATAGTATGCTGCTACTAACTTCCTGTGTGAAGACTTGCATGCGTAAGCGACACAGTTACTATGCCGTGTATGCAGGGCATACATGCCCTGGACGTCAGCCGTAATGCAATGAATATGTCATCCAACCTGGGCTACTAAATACCTTGCATGCATGTATACACAAGAACTAGAAGTGAACTGCCTTAAATAGTTACCGGTATGCTACAATGTAGTTTCTGATCTTGCTTACATGTGCGCAGGCTGCCCAACTAACTTCTATCTTATTGGAGACATATGCCTGAGCCTCTTGCAGACGGATGACCTGACATTCACTGATGCTGAGGCAAAATGCAAGACTCTCAATTCAGAGGCTACGCTTGCTATTGTGAAAGACTACCGCACACAAGGTGAGACAATACTTTCTTTTGAAGTCCTTTTTTTTTTAAAAAAATCCATGAAAAAAAATTGTGAAACCACAATATATTATTCTGCAGCTTGAGCATTTTCCTGGAGTTGGGAATTTTGACGAATTTTTTTTTTTTTTGAATTGCTAATATGATATTTGGAGTGACACACATAAAAGCGAACTACCAGGTACATGTAAGCATAATTTATGGTTACCAAATTAAAAGTACCCAATCCATGTGCAGACAGTATTGGCCTTGGAAACAACAGACATTTGTGTATCTTCTGAGGAGTGTCTGAACAAATTGGAACCATACAAATTAAGCCATACTAGCAGTTTTCGGTTGAAAAACTAGTTTTTGTATCTCGTACATACAATGTAGCTAGTTTCTCTTCAAAAGACTGACTTTGCATTTTGGGTTGTTTATTGCAGCCCAAATTGTTGCATTTATGATGTCCTTGGACAACACCCAGGATGTATACATTGGACTCAAAGCTACCCCTGCTAACCCCTTCTATACTTGGAGCGATGGGACGGCATTAGATGTGTCGTTTACTCGATGGGGAGTTGGGCAGCCAGATGGATATGCATTCTTGGTAATGTAGCAAATAGTTACAACTTACGGTACATGCAAATGGAACAAACGTACAATCTTCCCTTTTATTAATATCAAATGTTACATGGGTGATTGCTTTTTAAAAGTCAAGGGGAATTTTGTCATTATATTCATGTGTTTATTGGACCTATCGTTAAACATTGATTTTATTCCTCAGTCCTTTATTTGCTAGAACACCGGTGGCCAGCCCACCCTTTTTTTAACAAGCATTGTTTATTTCCTTTGCGGTTGAAAGGAAAGGGTGTAATTTTCAGGCTTCACAAAAGTACCTGTCTTCATTTGTTTGTAACAATTTAAGATATCCAGAAACAAGGAAAACAACCCTGAGAAGATGATTCCATTATTGGACTAAATCAAACATACCGGTAATACATGATATTGATATTGATATCATAATATAATTCAGTGCCTACTCATTATTCAGTTCAGTGAAACAGGCTGCATCCATTGTAACTGCTAGTTGTAACCAAATCATTTTGACGAAGCCTACCATTTCTTGCATGTACATGTACATGTAGCAGAAATTCTTTCAGTCACACATAGGCCTATGGCTCATCATAGAAGATTAATAATAAATAATAATACCAGAACCGTCAATATGTCAATACTGGTTACTGGTAAAGCTGACCTTAAAATCGGGAAGAAATCATTCGAAAATGTCCCCAAATCTATGTATTTGTCTCAATTTCTAGGAATCCCCTCAAGTTGTTATTTCACGAGTAGTTGATCACTTACATCATCTAAGTATATTCCGAATTTCAGCATAGATCTGTTGTTGCAAACACTTGTGCTACACCTTGAACTATCTCCAAGGAACATTTAGATGAGGATTTTTTCCAACCAAACTCACGTGCATGGTTTTCATGGAACAATGCTGATGAAGCGAATATTAGCATATTCACTAGCGGGACTCGGCATGACTTTGCGTGGGTCTCGGTATCAACCAATGCGAATAGTGTGATATTTATTAATTAATAACTTGATTGTGAGGAGGCGAGACTGCAAATGTTTACTGCACACCATAATTGATATAGGAACCAGTGTTGTAGTTGAGGCCACAATCTTCGAGGCCGAGGCCGAGGGCACAACCTCCGTGGCCGAGGCCAGCTATTAAAACACGTAAGAAAATATAAATCACTAAAACATGGCTAAGATTTCGTTGGATTTTTGAACATCTTTTTAGTTGAATTGACTTAGTTTTGGATTGCCTGGCTTACAAAATTTACAGCTTGCAATGTGTTTTCTCTTGCCAGTGATATCATTTACGCACGTGGGAAGCTGAAGCTCAACACAGACATGCTTTGTGTTTCGCGAGCATGCATGCATGTGAATTACGGGTTGGTTCCCTGCCCCATTGCCGCTTTGGCTACTGCACTTGTGACGTTCACTCGTTCAGGGATGTACGTCGTAGGAGTGCTGCTTGAAGTTTCCAGCGTTACTGCATAATGACGTCATTGGCGTGATGTGGGGAAATTTGCCAGTGCAGTAGCACTGGAACGAAGCCCCTGACTCAGACGGCGGTTTTTGCTCTTTGTTGATGTTTTAAATTTTCATTCAAATTACAAATAAAAACTCACCTATATGACTGTAGATAAATTTATTGCAGCAGAGGATCCATGCAAAATGAGAAAAGAATCAAGTGGAACAAGATCAAAAGAGATATTTCCGGTGCAACTCCGGGTGTGAAAAAAAAAATCCTCGGTACACGTACACACCTGCAGCTCCTGCGCTATGTGTGTAATATGTGGGGACAAAATTGCATGCGAGGATCATTCGGAACTGCGCTATATAAGTACCGGTATTATAATTAGCTGTTTCGGTGACCCATCGAAACAGCTCTTGTTTTCGTTAAGATTTTTTTTGGCTTTTTTTTTAGCTGTTTCGGTGTACACACCGAAACAGCTCTTGTTTTCGTTAAGATTTTTTTTTTTCTTTTTTTTTTAGCTGTTTCGGTGTACCTTGTTTTCGTTAAGATTTTTTTTTTTCTTTTTTTTTTTTCTTTTTTTTTGGCTTTTCCGCAAAAAAGCGGAAAAGCCTTTCTTTTTGTTCTCATTTTTTTTCTTCTTCTTCTTCTTCTTCTTCTTCTTCTTCTTCTTATTCTTTTTGTCGCCTAAATCCCATAGACTTTGTACACGTTTTTTCTCAGTGCCACTTTTGGTATTAATCTTCGTCATACATCATTCAAATTAAGCATAGTCATAGTCATTATAGCAGAGATGTGCCCCGAAGAATGACGTCATGGTGACGTCATTGACTAATTTATTATAGATTTTTGAATATTTAATTTTTCCCATAGACTTTGTACACAAAAATTAAGAAAAAATTGTCGATTTTCAAAGGGCATTTTTGACTGTTTGCCAGTAATTCATTTTGATCACTCTTTGTCCAAGCAAAGACCCTAATTCAAACAACATTGTGTAATGATGACGTCATGATGACGTCATCAGGTGTTTATTTATAGGCAATTAAATTGTGACACTTTTAATATTTAAAAATGCATAAGAAATCAACCGTACGCGTCCGCAGCATTCTTTTGCCGGCAAGTGGTAGAGTAGGTTAAGGTCTTCATTTCATTCAGTGTGCGTGCAATCACGTGACCCTTGCTTCCGGTCGAAAAAAGCCCAAACCGGAAGTGGCTTATTATTTGAAAGTGGTAATAGATATGAACTTGCCTTCAACGGTGTTAGTCTTTTGGCCGATAGTATTCTTCAAATCATCTACCGATGACGTCATGCAATCTTCGAGCGCCCTCTAGCGACAGGTTGAAAATTAGCAAAAATGTATTTTGAATAGATGTCTGTGGCGAAGTTTGTCGGAATAGCCTAAATATTGGTGTATATGATGACCTTGACCCACGTAAGACGTGTGCGAAGTTTTAGGCGAATGACGTCATTAGACCGGAAGTTATAGTGAAAAGACCCTTTTTCAATTGAAAATTCCTGAAAACTCAACCATGGCAGTTTTTATATTTGTTTTTACTTTAATTGTCGATTAAAGGGTAGGTCTAAAACATTTCAAAGTTTCGAGGAGATAAGCGAACTCGAACATACCCTGCGCACGCTTAAAACTTCACGTTGACAATACCTCTACTTCAAAACATGCACAGGACAGGACATCCACAATGTACATGTACATGCACGTACGTTGTACATAGGCACATACATGTACATCGTTTGTCAGTCAGCATGCAGCGCACGTGTTGCTGAGGTCGAATCCTGTCCACGGTGACCGTTTTAGCCGATTTTCGGCTAACTTTGACAAATTTTATGTTCATGCATGCGCATAGACAGGGACGTATTATAGCCCTTTTGGCATTAATCTTTGTCAGATATCATTGAAAGTTGGCATAAGCATAGTCCCTATAGCCGAGATGTGTCCCGAAGAGTGACGTCATGGTGACGTCATCAAGTGATTTATTATGGATTTATGAATAATTAATTTTTCTCATAGACTTTGTACACAGCTTTCTCCACAAGTCTTTTCCTATACAACACTGATATATCTTACTGAGTAGTTCTGAACTTTGGCCGAGAATTACTATGAGAAGGAAAAAGAAATCGTATTTTTTTACGAATGCCATTTTATTGAAAATATTCCCAAGAGTCAGAATATCAAGTAATATTTTATAAAAATGTTTCAGTTTAAAGGCAAATCACGTTTTTAAAGGTGCAGTTTTTCTGCTGTGGGATTTTTAACCCATTGACTTTGTACACGTTTTCAAGCCACCATTTTAATAATTTGGCGATCTGGAATCGTCATTGAAGTTACAGCCAAGGAAGACCCTCATACAAAAATTATGCCAAGACTATGACGTCACGATGACGTCATCACCTAATTTTTTATTGATTTTTGAAAATTTACGTGCATATTGTGAAGTCTTATATCTACAGAAATGTAAGTCCGATTGGGTTGAAACTTGGTATGTGGCTATACCAGGATGTGTTATAGATTAAAAATGAGGTGACGTCATGATGACGTCATCCTGAGATTTTATATGAATATTTGATTTTTTGGACCTTTTAACCATATCTCCCGAACGCAACATGCAAAATGCAAAATTCTTTTTTGCATTAGGTCTGTTAGGTGATAGGTATTCACACAAAACTTGAAAAATGTGTGACGTCATCATGACGTCATCAAAATGCGATTTTTCAAAACTCATATAAGGAAAGGTCCAATTGTCATGAAACTTGGTGGGTAGGTAGATAATAGTACTAGTATGCAAAGTCCGAAGTGACGTCACGATGATTTCATCAAAAATTCCCAAAAAATTGTCGATTTTCAAAGTGCATTTTCGACTCTTTGCCAGTAATTCATTTAGATTACTCTTTGTCCAAGAAAAGACCATGTACACACGCACATACATCATATTGCCGAGTTCAAATCCTGTCCACAGTGACCGTTTTAGCCGATTTTCGGCTAACTTTGACAGATTTTATGTTCATACATATTCAGGGCATATTATTGATTAAAAAAATCATAATGCGGAAAAGCCCTATTTTCTGTTGCAAACAGACATAGACCTCTAGTTTTTTCTTATTTTTCCACCTTTCTCCATATGTTTTGTACACGTTTTTCTTCTACCAGGGCACTTTGGCACTTTCGTAAACCCGATCGACATGAGACTTAGTACATACTTAGACCACCACCCTCAGATGGTCCTAGACGAAAATTGTGATCATGACGTCATCAGGTGTCGGGTTACGTCACATTAAAGATGCATTTTCCCCTATATGTTTTGTACACGTTTTAAAACACTCCAGTTTGGCATCTTCGTAAATCCGATCGACTTTAAACTTAATTCATACTTAGACCACCACCCACAGATGGTTCTAGACGAAATTCGTGATTGTGACGTCATCAAGTGTCAGGTTACGTCACATTAAAGATGCATTTTTCCCCATAGGGTTTGTACATGTATTAAAACGCTCCATTTCGGCACTTTCGTAAATACGATCGACGTTACACTTGGTACACACT